TTAGTAGAGACAGAGGTTTGCCATGTTGGCCAGGCTGGTCTCCAACTCCTGACCAGTTGATCCACCCACCTTGACCTCCCAAAGTGTTGGGAGTACAGGCGTGAGCCATCACGCCAAGAATAATTATTTGTTACATAGGTTTTTTTAAAAAAAAAAAAGTTAGACCAGATAATTATTTGTTACATAGGCCTTTTAAAAGAAAAAATAAGTTAGACTGGGTGCTCACGCCTGTAATCCCAGCACTTTGGGAGGTCAAGGCAGGTAGATTAACTGAAGTCAGGAGTTTGAGGCCAGCCTGGCCAACATGGTGAACCCCTGTCTCTACTAAAAATACAAAAATTAGCCTGGCATGGTGGCACATGCCTGTAGTCCCAGCTACTCAAGAGGCTGAGGCAGGAGAATCGCTTGAACCCAGGAGGCAGAGGTTGCAGTGAGCCGAGATCACGCCACTGCACTCCAACCTGGGCAACAGAGCGAGACTCTGTCCCAGAAAAAGAAACAAAAAAAAAGTCAACAGTGTAACATGTATTCAAGACTACTGAAAAAACAGTTTACATATACTTTTGGTTAAAAGATTATAAGGAGGCGAGAGAATGTGGACTTTTACCTAGATTGAAAGGTTAAAGAATTGTTTTAAGTTGAAAAAAATAAAAATGAAAGTTTAAGCAAGTTTAGGAAGGTTAATTATAAAGGAAATTCTGTGTGTAAACATATTGGCTAAATTTAAAGGTGTATCATTCAGTTTTTCTGTAAATTGAGCATTAAAATCAAAGCACAATGGGTTTTTTTAAAACACTAACCTGCTCTTTAGCAAAAACTGTAAAGGGTTAAAAAAGGTCTATAAGAATCTGACCTCACAGTCAAACATTAAATTTGGGTAAAGTGTCTACAAGGTTTTTATTAAAAATTGAGTTTAACATTAATAACACGCTAATATAAAGGTAAAATTTGGCTTATTTGGTATAAAATCATACAAGAAGCATTTTTATAAAATGGTGTTTGGCTTTCCTTTGGGCTATGTTTGTATAAATATGTTATTGGTATGTGTTCCAAAGTTATGGGAGACTCCTATAATTCTGATATATCTTAACGTACATTATCCTTACTCATTAAAATTGTTATGTTAAAAGTATTGTGTGCCACAGAGGTAACAGATTTTCCTGTCAATTGCATCTTTAACTATGGCTATCCTAAAACTTTTTGTGATCCATAAACAATTGTTGTCTTGTTTTGGTCCTCTCCAGAAAGCGGTTTTATAAGCAGCTATAAAGCTCTAACAGGTGCTCTTGATGCGGGTTTCTGATGACTTTGGAGATCATGACATCAGAATAGAGGAAAAATGTTCAGGGCTCTTGAAGAGTTAAAATGTCCATTAATGGCCAGGTGTGGTGGCTCACGCCTGTAATCCCAGCACTTTGGGAGGCCAAGGCAGGCAGATCATGAGGTCAAGAGATCGAGACCATCCTGGCCAATATGGTGAAACCCTGTCTCTACTAAAATACAAAAATTAGCTGGGCGTGGTGACGAATGCCTGTAGTCCCAGGTACTAGGGAGGCTGAGGCAGGAGAATTACTTGAACCTGGGAGGCAGAGGTTGCAGTAAGCCGAGATTGCACCACTGCACTCCAACCTGGTGCCTGGCAACAAAGCAAGACTGTCTCAAAAAAAAAAAAAAAATGTCCATTAATATCAAGCAGGACAGGAATTAACTGCATGAACTGAATTAATAGGAGGCTTGAGTGATCTTGACATTTTGCTCAAAATATTGCTAATCCTTTGTTTTGCTTTTCAAAGTCAAAGAAAGTTTTCTATTGAGCTATTGACAGATTTTAACAATCTAGTATACTCCCAGGAACAAACTTTGGTGCATACTATTTCTCTTTCCCTGATCTTTACTAAAATTTGGAAACTATTGGTAATACAATTATTTGCATAAGTGCAATAAGAATCTGTTTTCTTTTGTAACAGGACACAGTTGGGAAAACTGGTTATTTTACCATGGCCTTGACTGGAATAGTGTGCTTTCCTTTAAGGAATCAGACTTGACTTATGAAGCCAAGAAAAGCCTTGGACCTGGCTTCATATTTTGTGTACACAGTCCCTGTACAGGGTTTCTTATCTGTGGTAAGTAAGGAATGTCGCTTTCTGGCAGGCTGGGAACCCTAAGTTATCTTGTAACCTCAAGAGGAACAATTCCAAGGCTAGGTTCAGTTTTACATCTTATCTTAAATTCTTTCTATGGAACAATACATGTTACACTGTTAACTTTTAGCAACTTTTATTTTGTTAGTAACTTTGAGATTTGAATTATGTACTAGATGTAGAGCCTAGGACCTAGACAGAAGTGCGGATAAGGTCTGACTGATTCCAGCATTTACCTCCATGTGTCCTAGGTCTTACCTGGCTGCAAAGCAGGCAAGTTGTACAGCTAAGAGTTACAGTGGCATTTTATAATGCATTCAGGAGACCTAGTCACTTTTTCTGTTTTTGAGACAGAGTCTTGCTCTGTTGACCAGGCTGGAGTGCAATGGCACTACCTCGGCTCACTGCAACCTCCACCACCCCAGTTCAAGTGATTCTCCTGCCTCAGCCTCCCGAGTAGCTGGGATTACAGGCACCTGCCACCATGCCCAGCTAATTTTTTATATTTTCAGTAGAGATGAGGTTTCGCCATGTTGTCCAGTCTGGTCTCGAACTCCTGATCTCAGGTGATCTACCTGCCTTGGCCTCCCAAAGTGCTGGGATTACAGGCGTGAGCCACCACGCCAGGCTGCCTAATCACTTTTAAATTGTACAACATTTCTTGCATAAATTTCCTTTTATAAAATTTTCGTGGTTTACACAGAAAATCTCTGACATGCCTCAACTTTCTGATTTTTAAACATTCCTCTTTTAAAACAACCAGCTAATTTACTTTAGGACAAGAATTTACCATATAAGTTTTTTGTTTCTCGTTTTTTTTTTTTTTTTTTGAGATGGAATCTCACTCTGTCGCCCAGGCTGGAGTGCAGCGGCACAATCTCGGCTCACTGCAACCTGCGCCTCCAGGGTTCAAGTGATTTTTCTGCCTCAGGTTCCAGAGTAGCTGGGATTACACATACGCACCACCATGCCTGGCTAATTTTTGTATTTTTAGTGCAGACAGGGTTTCACCATATTGGCCAGGTTGGTCTCAAACTCCTGACCTCGTGATCTGCCCTCCTTGGCCTCCCAAAGTGCTGGTATTACAGGTGTAAGCCACTGTGCCCCACCTATAAGATTCTTTTTTCTATAAATTCTCTTTTCTTTAATATCAAAGATGATAAAGGTTTCCTTGATAAAAACAAACTTCTAGGCTGGGCGCAGTGGCTCATGCCTGTAATCGCAGCACTTTGGGAGGCTGAGGCAGGCGGATCACAAAGTCAGGAGTTTGAGACCAGGCTGGCCACCGTAGTGAAACCCCATCTCTACTAACAATACCAAAACTAGCCGGGCACGGTGGTATGTGCCTGTAGTCCCAGCTACTCTGGAGGCTGAGGCAGGAGAATCACTTGAACCCAGGAGGCAGACGTTGCAGTGAGCCGAGATCCGGCCACTGCAATCCAGCCTGGGCAACAGAGCGAGACTCTCACAAAGAAAAAAAAAAACTTCCTTGATGTCTGTGGACTAGACTGCTTAAAGCCACAAGATTAGAGATTAGAGTATTTCACTAAATCGTTCACCATGTAGCTATCTTTATTAAACCAATATTGATGTTTCATTATTAAAAAGTTACGGCCAGGCGCGGTGGCTCACGCCTGTAATCCCAGCACTTTGGGAGGCCGAGGTGGGCGGATCACGAGGTCAAGAGATCGAGACCATCCTGGTCAACATGGTGAAACCCCGTCTCTACTAAAAATACAAAAAATTTGCTGGGCGTGGTGGCGCATGCCTGTAATCCCAGCTACTCAGGAGGCTGAGGCAGGAGAATTGCCTGAACCCAGGAGGCGGAGGTTGCGGTGAGCCGAGATCGCGCCATTGCACTCCAGCCTGGGTAACAAGAGCGAAACTCCGTCTCAAAAAAAAAAAAAAAAGTTACAAGGAGCCCAGGTGTGGTGGCTCACACCTGTAATCCAAGCACTTTGGAGGCCAAGGCGGGCGGATCACCTGAGCTCGGGAGTTCAAGACCAGCCTGACCAACATGGTGAAACCCCGTCTTAAAAAAAAAAAAAAAAAAAAAAAAAAAAGTTACAAGCAAAGATGATTCTGTTTGGACCGTGAAAGGTGGAGGGAAGCCATGTTTTCCGTCCCTACTGTACCAAATACTTTGGGTCTGTGAAAAAATAAAATAGAATTGCAGACCCTCTAAATTTGTTTTGTACTCTCTATGCCAACTTTTGGCACCTTATAGTATTTGGCAGAGATAAGTATGAAATTGTGGCTTGGCGCAGTGGCTCATGCCTGTAATCCCAGCACTTTAGGAGACCAAGGTGAGCGGTTCACCTGAGGTCAGGTGTTCAAGACCAGCCTGACCACTCCACTCCAGCCTGGGCGAGAGATCAAAAAAAAAAAAAAAAGAAGAAGAAAATGGTCATGCTGAGAGCCACATAACTAACTGCAGGGCTTAACTTCTTCTTGGCATCATAAATGTAGAGGGTCTTGTAATATTTAATTACATATCTATGAGTAGAAATCCCACAAAATATGAGACTTCAAAGAAAGGTCAGATGATCGAAGTTTAAGGACTAGAACCGTTTGCACATATCTTTTGTCAGCTGGGGATCAACCCTCATGAAATCTGGGTGGCAAAGGGCACTCAATAAAGCAAGCCCTTTATTGCACGGTTCTACCATCAGGATTCTCTTCCTAGCTGGTCTGCAGGGCAGATTACAGATACAGAGTAGGCTCTTTGTCTTGCGGGGAGCCTCATCCACCCTCCGCCTGCCTTTCTCCAACCTCTGGGCGGGGACAGGCTTATACAAACTGAGCTGCCTGTGGCCCCTCCCATGCAGAGCGTCCCAGGAACTGGACCAGCAGGTAAGTGAGCAGAGCCGGGCAGCTCAGGCCTGTGAGTGCGCAGCTGCTGGCCGGGAGCACAGGGCACTGACCTGGCTGTGGCAGGCGCACTTGTCTGGAGCCAGCAGGTGTCCCGTGGCCTTTCCCTTAGTTTCAGGCTGCCGTGTCGGGAGAGACCAGAGAGACAGGAGGGAAGAAAGGTTTCCTCCTGAGCTGGCAGGTTGGAGTCGGGACAGGCTCAGCCATCCGGGTGAATTCCAGAGCCCTGGTGCCTCCAGACCAAAAGGCTGGGTGCCGAGGCTCATGCCTGTAATCCCAGCACTTTGGGAAGCTGAGGCAGGTGAATCGCTTGAGCTCAGCAGTTCAAGACTAGCCTGTGCAACATGGCAAAACCCCATCCAAAGAAAAAATACAAAAATTACCCAGGCCAGAAGTGGTGGTGTGAGTTAGTAGTCCCAGCTACTCAGAAGGCTGAGGTGAGAGGGTGACTTGAGCCAGGAAGGTTGAGGTTGCAGTGAGCTCAGATTACGCCATAGCAGCTTGGGTGGCAGAACGAGATCCTGTCTCAAAAAAAATGGTAACAATAAAGAACAAAGAGTGGGTCCCCATTGACTCCACCCAGCTCCATCTCCATACTATCTCAGAACAACTTGACAAGGCTGAAGGCACAGGAGGCTGAGAAAGAGGGTGGGAGTTGGAATGGATGTGGAGGAGAGGGGAACTGGCCTGGAGGAGGCTGCTCCACCAAGGTCAGCCCCGTGGGAGGTCTGAAGCCCTTCCTGGCCCTGGAAGGAAGAAGTGGGGAAGAGAACTCACAGTCCACTTCTGTGGGCCAGCTTGAGCGCCTGTTACCTCATTCCCATTTTCCTGGTTGGCTGAGCCCAGAAAGGCCAGGCATTCACAGACCCTTTCACAGATAAAGAAACCAAGGCCCAGAGAGGGTGAGCAGCTGACCTGAGGTTGCACAGCCAGTGATGACAGGCCTGGATGCCTGCCACAGCCTGAGATCAGGGGTGGGGCAGGGCTCTGGGAAGCACTATCTCCTTCCTGGTGTAGTTTTCCCCACCTATCCAATAGAAATATTGAGTTGGGATGAGTTCTAGGGGAGCTCTGAGGTCCCAGCAAGGAGAGGTAGAGATGGTCTCCTGCTACATGTGGCTGTGAGCAGTAAGGGAGGCTGAGCTGTACCGTTCCCAGCGCCCCAGCTGCCTCCTGCCTCCCAGCACCTCCTTGCCTCCCTCTCCACTGCAGCTTCCCATTTTTCCTTGTCTCTGTTCTTCTGTCATCCTTTCTCCCCTTTTCTGCTTCTAGCTTTTGGTTCTGTTTCTTTGTCTCCGTCTCTTCTCTCTCACTCCCCTTCATCTGCCCATCTCTCCCTGTGGGTTTTGTGGTTTTGACCTCTTGGCCTCTGTTCTCCATGGACTCAAAGCCATTCCATTCCTACCCACTCTCATGAGGGTGAGGCCAGGGCCAGGCCCTAGGTAGATGCCTGCGGGAGTCACTAAGTTCTCCAGGAGCCTGGAACCCAGAAAAGCGTTGGCTCAGACCCTTGCCCAGGAGTGAAATGTGCCCAGTGTCATGCTGCCACCTGGCTCTGCCCTGAGGGTCACCCTGGCCAACACAACCCTCACAGCTGAGGCAGGTTTCCTCCAGCCTGGCCCACAGGACTAGGTGCCTACCAGCTGGCAGCTTGTTCTTGCAGAGCGAGAAAGCAGCCATGGTGCCAGGGGCTCAGGTGGCCCAGCCCGTAGCAAGCCAAATGGTCACCTGGGCACTGGGGGAGAGGACACGGCCCCAGTCACATGGAGATTACACTCCCATGGGAGAGACTAGTGCTCAACAGATAGACACAGATAAACTCCCATAACTGAGCTATTGTCAGTAATACCATGAGGAAGGAAAGCAGAGGGCAGGAGAATGTGGAGGGGGTCAGGGGATGGCGTGCGGGGTGGAAGCTGCCTGGAAGAGATGGCCCAGCCCGTACATGAGGGTGCACTGGCCCTGGACAGAAACCCACTTCCAACTCCCTTCACTCTCTTGTGCTGGGGTTCACAGCTTTTGATGCAAGAATGCAAAAGAGAAACCTTTGCCTGGAACTGGCTGGGCGCAGTGGCTTATATCCTGTAATCCCAGCACTTTGGGAGGCCAAGGCAGGCGGATAACCTAAGGTTGGGAGTTCAAGACCAGCCTGACCAACATAGAGAAACCCCATCTCTACTAAAAATACAAAATTAGCCAGGCGTGGTGGCTCATGCCTGTGATCCCAGCTACTCAGGAGGCAGAGGCAGGAGCATCACTTGAACCTGGGAGGCGGACATTTCAGTGAGTGAAGATCACACCATTGCACTCCGGTCTGGGCAACAAGAGCGAAATTCTGTCTCAGGAAAAGCAAAGAAATCTTTGCCTGAAACTGATCCTTCTAGCCTCCCTATCTGTCGCGCACCCATATGGGGCATCTTAACTGTCTCATGTGAAGACTTAGGTTTCTGGTCTCTGGTGATCACAGAAGGGGACCTGGATCCTTGGGAAGCAGATATGTCTTGAAGCTTCTCTCAGCTTCTCCTGAGCCTGTGCTCCATTTCTCTCTTTCTCAGGCCCACGTCTCGGGAGGCCACCAGTGAGTGGAATCCTGCTCAGCTTGGCCCCAATAGCCTCTTCAGCACCCCCCCACCCCGAGGCCTTTCTCAGGCTGCTTAAGAGGGCTGGGTTCACAGTCAAGCATGTCAGGATGTAAAGCTCAGCTCCCAGCTGTATGGCCCCAGACAAATTTATCTCCCTTTCTAAACCTCAGTTTCCTCATCTGTAAAATGAAGCTAATTGGAATGCCAGCCTCAGGATTGTGACGGATTTGATAGGTAATGTGTGCAAAGAACTTCGCACTGGGTCTGGCACAATAAGCAGCGTATGCGTGGCAGCTGTGGTTGTCACTGCTGTTATGGTGACTCTTGGCCCCTTTGCTACAGCACCCTAAATTCAGAAGGGCTCTCCTCCTGCTTCCTCCCGGCACCTCATGTTTCACCTCACAAAAGCCAGCACCATCCTGTTAAAAACTAGGTTCGAGCTGTGGTCTCCTCTGCCTACTCACAGAGCTTTTGACTCTAGAGAAAACCCCCAAGCTCCCACCCACAGGGCCCTAGGGGACCTGCCCTGTCTCCCCGCACCCACTCCCACTGTCTGCAGCCACACTGACCTCCAAGCTTTTTTTTTTTTTTTTTTTTTTTTGAGAGGGAATCTCGCTCCATTGCCAGGCTGGAGTGCACTGATATAATCTCGGCTCACTGCAACTTCCGCCTCCCGGGTTCAAGCGATTCGCCTGGCTCAGCCTCCCAAGTAGCTGGGACTACAGGTGCCCACCACCACGCCTGGCTAATTTTTGTATTTTTAGTAGAGACAGGGTTTCACCATGTTGGCCAGGTTGTTCTCGATCCCTTGACCTCGTGATCTGCCTGCCTCAGCCTCCGGAAGTGTTGGGATTATAGGCATGAGCCACCACGCCCAGCACCTAGCGGTCCTTTGAACAGCAAAAGCCACTTCTGGGACAGAGCAGATGTGGCTGCACCCCAGGGCCTTTTCACTTGCTGTTTCCTCCCCTGGATGCTCTTTCCCTGGACAGCTGACTCCCACACTCCCTTCACGCCCGCTCCTTGACAACTGCACATTCCCTGCTCAGGAGCCTTGCTTTCCTCAGGAGTCCTTGCTGCCGCCTGACTTGCTCTATATTTCTGTTTTTTGTTCTGTGTCGTGACTGCTTCCTGCACCTTCCTGAGAGCACAGATTGTGGTTGAGGACACAGTAGGTGCCCAAGAAATATTGGTTAAATGAATAAAGCAGCACTGCAAGGTCACTGTACATCATCTCAGCTCACCACAACCTCCACCTCCCGGTTCAAGTGATTCTCCTGCCTCAGCCTCCTGAGTAGCTGGGATTACAGGTGCCCACCACCATGCCCAGCTAATTTTTTGCATTTTTAGAAGAGACAGGGTTTCACCACGTTGGTTAGCCTGGTCTCCAACTCCTGACCTCATGATCCATCCACCTCAGCCGCCCAAAGTGCTGAGATTACTTTGGGAGCCACCACCGCCCGGCGATATGCACCTTTTAAAATTATCCCAACACATTCTGAACACCACCTGTTCTGAAGCTCTCCTTTTCTCTGGGGCCTTTTTGCACATGTAGTTCCCTTTGCCTAAGAAGTCCCCTTCATTGTCATTGATGACTGTTCCTCACCGAGTCCTCCAGGTCCAAAAGGACACCTCCATTTTGAGGAAGGAGAGAATTTGGAAGTGAGCCAGGGCCATAGGGCAGATGCGTCACGTGGGGACACACCCCACGACGCCTGGTTTCCAGACAAGGAAACAGACCCCCAGAGCCAAATCATATCCCTCAAGCGACACAGCTGTGGCAGCAGCTGGGTCAGAACCACAGAATTCTTTGTGGTGAGTGGGGATTTAGGCTTTCAGTGCCTAGGACTTGTTGAACATACAAGAAAGTCAGGCTCCTTCTGCCCTGTCTGCCCTCATCTCCCCACCCAGCCCTCCTTGGGAAAGCTACTGATGTTTGTAAATGTTTAACTGGACACCTCAAGGAACTCTCATTAGTTTAATAGCTTTTCATATGGCAAAGGTCACCATCATCTGCAAATTCGCCTACTCGCTTCAACTATTGACTTAGCATCTTTCTTAGGCATATCATGTAATATCGCCTTTGCTACATCCGTGTTAGTTTTGCACCTTCGTCTGCTGTCTTGACCAGGAAGGATGAGTCAGGCCTGAACCTTGGGACTGTGCTCTGTTCATTTCTCCTGAAATGTCTGAGGTTATATTGGGACACATTCAGAATACAGAGAGTCACTACAGTGTTGACTCCTTCATGAATTAGAGTCTCGATAAGTGAAATAACTTTTGGTCTCAATTTATACATTTATACTTGTGGTGCCAAATTCCATATGGAGGGCTCTTTGTTCCTTTGCTTTTTCCCTCTTTCTCTCCACCCCTTTTTTTTTCATTTCTCTGCAAGACATTTGCCCCCAAGTGTCTAAACAACCACTTTTGTTAAGTTTTGATTTTTGATCAAATCCTGGTTGGGACAGGATCTGAGTTTCAGGGTCAGAGAATAGGTGGCAAAGGAGGTAAACGTATTCATTGGCTTTTGCTATAATCTGTTCATCTGCATCCTGGAATGTGCATCTCTGTGCACTTAGTGCAGAGGAGGCATTTTTGTTTGCTTGTTTTTTGTTTTTGTTTTTTGAGACAGTGTCTCACTCTGTCGCCAGGCTGGAGTCCATTGACATGCTCTTGGCTCACTGCAACTTCCGTCTCCCGAGTTCAAGCGTTTCTCCTGCCTCAGCCTCCTGGGTAGCTGGGATTATAGGAGCCCACCACCATGCCTGACTAATTTTTTTTTGAGATGGGACCTCCCTATGTTGCCCAGGCTGGAGTGCAGTGATCTTGGCTCACTGCAACCTCTGCCTCCCGGTTTCAAGTGATTCTCCTGCCTTGGCCTCCTGAGTAGCTGAGATTACAGGCATGTGCCACCACACCCTGCTAATCTTTGTATTTTTAGTAGAGACAGGGTTTCATCATGTTGGTCAGGCTGGTCTCGAACTCCTGACCTCAGGTGATCCGACACCCGGCTAGAGACAGAGTTTTACCATGTTGACCATTGCGAGGCTGGTCTTGAACTCCTGACCTCCAGTGACCCACCAGCCTCAGCCTCCCAAAGTGCTGGGATTATAGGCATGAGCCACTGTGCCCAGCCTCAGAGTGTTTTTGTTGTATATAAAATAAGAGTGACTTAAACAACATAAGGGTTTGTTTACAATTTAACAACAACATTAAACAAATGAAACAGTTCAACACAGGTAAAACAGGGCTCCTAAGGGTGCTCTCTGCCTGAACAAGGGAGCCTAGTATGCATCTAACCCCCACCACATGCCTCATAGTACAAAATTGTTGCTGGAGTTCTGGCCATCACATCTGAATTCCAGACCGAAAAATGGAGGAAGAGCAGAAGGACACACTCCCTTATTGTTAACTCTTTCCCCATTTGCCACAAGGAAAACCTGCTTGCAACTACAGCATTTACCCCAAGATAACTTTGCCACGAAGTATGTCGCTTTTATTATTATTTTGCCTTGCTCTAGTATATTGACTTTAGAAACAAAAGACTTCACTCTATTTATAGCATTCTGGTTTTAATAGTGGTATTTCCATTTATGAAACATAGTAATGCTTGATTGCTAAAAATATCAAATCCTAGAAAACACAGCATTTCTCGATGCCAAGATGGCCCGAGTCTAGGATGGAGAAAGAGAGCAAAGCGGTGGCCACTTCTTCCAAAATATTCCTGAAAAGCCAGAAATCTTGCCGGTTATTTGCCATCCCCCCGCATTGAGGATTATAGTAACACACTGTCGAACACTCTGGGCGAACCAAAGTAATACATCTGCTCTCTAGCTTTGGCCAGTGTGTTAATTGGCAAATCCTGAGCTAAGTCATTGAGAAAGGCCCTTCCACCTTCAAAATGCCAGATGCCCAAGCAGCCCCCGCCCTCAAAAAGCTTCAGTCTCAAGGTATGTGCCTGCATGCACCCACACAAGAACAACCTTAAATGAAGGGTTCGTGGGGCCCCGATGAGGACACCTGAGGCAGCCAGAGGTCTCCTGGAGGATGGGATCTTGTAGAAAGCTTGGATGTGGACAGAAGAGGGGGCGGCACTCCAGGCTGAGGGAACAGCAGAGGCGAAGATGTGCCACTGCTGCCTGGGCGCTTCCCCTCCCTCCTTGGGTCCCCTTGGCACCCCCAGAGCAGGCCTTGCCTGTGCCATTAGTCAAGTCAGTTTGCTAAGGGAGGGAACAGAGTCTCAGGCCCCCAGAAGGGAGGGGCAGAGCAGGCCTGCTAGCGGATCTGACTGCGTTACACCCCAGGAGTGGCTCTTCCCAGAGAGGAAAAGGCGGTAGCCAGAAAGGCAAATGAGCGTTGGGTTCGCTCAGTGGAGACAGGAGGAAGGAAGTCCCAGCCCTGTGGGCAATTCCATGTGTGGGAACCGTGCGGAGGAGCTGTCTGGGATTCTGGAGGTTCCTGGGTGAAGCGTGGCCACAAACTGACACTTCTGCTTTGTACTAGAAGGAAAAAGTATGGAGTTAAAGACTGCAGCTTGAACTGAAAAACCCTGGACAGGCTGCATGCTGCAGGGAACCCAGTCCAGACCCCAGGAGAGCCCCTCTGTCCCTTCGGACCCCGTCCGTCTCCCATCTACAAAACGTGGACATTGGCCCAGTTGACGTGTCTCTGCAAAGAGGTGCATGTACCACTGGTGAGTTCAGTTGATACCTGGTGGAGGAATCTTTTCCCTTTTTAAAGTTTCATAGTCATGGATTAATTCTCATGCGAACAAAACAAAAATAACTATGCCACCAAACCTGACGTTTCATGGTAATGGTCGGTAACCCTTAGTGGTGCTCGCTGCATGCTGGGATTGTGGGAAATAACATATACTCACCAGCATACTTACATCTCATCACAAACCACAGATAGAGTTCATACTGTCACTGTCTCCTACTTACAGATGAGGAGATGAGGCCCAGAGAGGCAAGGTCACCTGCCCAGGGTCACCCAGATTATAAGCAGCAGAGCCAGGGTCACACTCAAACAGCTGGCTCCAGAGCCTCACTCCTGGCATCTCCCACATTCCTGCTCAGACTAAAGATAGAAAAGAGTCAGTAACAGCACAGGTGGGCTGCCACTGCTAGCTGCCAAGGGGGTAAACAGATGGCAGAATGATTCCGCGGGGCGAGAGGAAGTGGCCTCCAAAGGCCACCTACAGAGTTCCGTAATTTCAGGAGGAAACAAAAGCCAGACTGAAATTTTATTTCAGGTAACCATATATTTGCATCAGGTAATGTGTTTACATGGTTCACAAATCAAAGCTCTTTTAAAAGCTAGACAGAGGCATCGCCGACATCCCTGCATTCCCTGTGTGTGTCCTTCAAGGTTGCTTTGTGCCAGTACAAGCAAAGAAAACATATTTTTCCTCTTCTTCTATGTCCAACAGGCAGTATGCATTTTCCTGGTTCCGTTTACCTGCCTTGATTTTGTTTCAAGATTATCAGTATAGCCTGGAGACCTTTCCTTGTCAGCCAGTAAGATCTGCTTTCCTTATTCCTTATGCCTTTAAACAGGTGTGTAGGATTCCAGTGGGTCCCTTGAATTAGCCCCTTCTCTGTTAATAGCCAGAGAGGAGAAATTTCCCATAACTTGCTATTATGCACAAGGTCACAATCTATAATAACCTTGTACACGAGTCATTTTGCCAGGCTTTGGGACAATCTCATGGTGGGAAATGGCACCCTGCAGTGGCTTTCCTACTGTGAAGGAAGGTGATACTCTTTTCATATGTTTAAAGCTTATTGGTACCTTTTTCTCTGACTTGTTCATATCCTTGGCCATCTGCTTTGTGGGGTCTCTTTGTTTTTGATTTTTAAAAACTCTTTACATATTAGGAAGATGAGCCCTTTGTGATTTATGTTACAAATATTTCCCCCACATTTTCATTTAACTTTTGACCTTGCTGTTGGTATGTTTTGCAGAAGCTGCTTTGTTTGCATTTGTGTGTTGTATTGATTTTTATTTTCATGAGTCATGGTTAGGAAAGCTTTCCCCTGTTTTCTGCTAATAAAAAACCAGCTTGGGCCAGGCGCAGTGACTCATGCCTGTAATCCCAGCACTTTGGGAGGCCGATGCAAGCTGACCACGTGAGGTCAGGAGTTCCACACCAGCCTGGCCAACATGGTGAAACCATGTCTCTGCTAAAAATACAAAATTAGTTCACATGGTGGTGCATGCCTGTAATCCCAGCTACTTGGGAGGCTGAGGCAGGAGAATCACCTGAGCCCAGGAGGCAGAGGTTGCAGTGAGCCGAGATCACTCCATTGCACTCCAGCCTGGGTAAAAAGAGTGAAAGTCTGTCTCAAAGAAAGAAAGAAAAAAAAAGCCAGCTTGTTCACAGGGAGGGGAGTAATATGAGAAAACCCTGGGCCCCAGATCACAGTGTCTTGCTAGGTGGCGAAGTTGAAATTACTCACCTGGTGTCCTCCTCTGCCAGCCCTGCTGCAGGCTGATCTGGGGAGGCCTCTGGCCCAGGGCAGATACCACCATGGCCTTCCTGATTCACCTGCTGGTCTGCATCTTTGGAATGGGCTCCTGGGTGACCATCAATGGGCTCTGGGTAGAGCTGCCCCTGCTGGTGATGGAGCTGCCCGAGGGCTGGTACCTGCCCTCCTACCTCACAGTGGTCATCCAGCTGGCCAACATCGGACCCCTCCTGGTCACCCTGCTCCATCGCTTCCGGCCCAGCTGCCTTTCCGAAGTGCCCATCATCTTCACCCTGCTGGGCATGGGAACCGTCACCTGCATCATCTTTGCCTTCCTCTGGAATATGTCCTCCTGGGTGCTGGATCGCCACCACAGCATCGCCTTCTTGGTCCTCACCTTCTTCCTGGCCCTGGTGGACTGCACCTCCTCAGTCACCTTCCTGCCCTTCATGAGCCGACTGCCCACCTACTATCTCACCACATTCTTTGTGGGTGAAGGACTCAGTGGCCTCTTGCCTGCCCTGGTGGCTCTTGCCCAGGGCTCGGGTCTCACTACCTGCGTCAATGTGACTGAGATGTCAGACAGCATGCCAAGCCCTGTGCCCACGGGGGAGACTGACATCACACAGGTACCCAGAACCATCGCAGCACTTGGTTTGCTCACAAGTGTAGGGGAGGGAAAATCTGCTCCCCTCTATCCTTCTAGGTTCTCTGGTCGGTCTATGAGCTAAACTGACAAGGCAGATCAACAGCAGGAAACCCATTTGAATTACTTACAGACAAACGCATGGGGGCTCTCCCCTTAGGTGGGGGGTTCTCTGCTTAGGTGAGTCTCTCCCCTTAGGTGGGGGATTCTCCCTTTAGGTGGGAGGCTCTCCCCTTAGATAGGGGGTTCTCTCCTTAGGTGGGGGATTCTCCCCTTAGGTGGGGGGTTCTCTCCTTAGGTAGGGGGCTCTCCCCTTGCTCAGTCTCCAGCTAGCCCCTCCTCTGAATATGTCTGTGGTTACCACTGCTGTAGGGTAGCTGAGTGATAAAAGGTGTAGCTTCCCAGTCAGAAAGCACCAGGTGAAGTCTGGCTTTGTCACTTTCTCCCTGTGACTCTCAGGGAAGGGATGAAGCATTCTGATGCCTCAGTTCCCTCTAAAATGGGGGGTGATGGTCCCACAGCACAGGCCTAGGAGGCACAGGGACTTATCCACGAGCAGTGCCCGTGCTCAGTGGCAGTCAGTGTGAGCAGTCATTATTGCCACCTTGTTAGTTATTTATTTATCAAGTATCTATTAATAATAACACATAATCTGTATTCTGTATTATCACTGTCATGATTGTTGACATTCTGCATTCTGATCCCCGCCCCCCACCAGGGATCTGACTGACCTGTCTTGTCCTTTGCAGGGAATTCCCACAGCTTTGGTGTCCACTCTCCCCAGAACGGCAGCACCGCTGTCCCACCTAGAGACCCGCTACCTCCCCGCCCACTTCTCACCCCTGGTCTTCTTCCTCCTGCTGTCCTTCATGATGGCCTGCTGCCTCATGGCATTCTTTGTCCTCCAGCGTCAACCCAGGTGCTGGGAGGCTTCCGTGGAAGACCTCCTCAACGACCAGGTCACCCTCCACTCCATCCGGCCACGGGAAGAGAATGACTTGGGCCCCACAGGCACAGTGGACAGCAGCCAGGGCCAGGGACATCTAGAGGAGAAAGCAGCCCCCTGCTGCCCGGCCCACCTGGCCTTCATCTATACCCTGGTGGCCTTCGTCAACGCACTCACCAATGGCGTGCTGCCCTCTGTACAAACCTACTCCTGCCTATCCTACGGGCCGGTTGCCTACCACCTGGCCGCCACCCTCAGCATTGTGGCCAACCCTCTCGCCTCCCTGCTGTCCATGTTCCTGCCTAACAGGTGTGCCCCCATCTGGCCCTAGGGAATCCTAGCGGGGGAGCACTTCATTTCAGAACCCAGAATTCCAAACCCACCTGCTGGGCTGTACGTGCAGTGGTTAAGAACATGGTTTTGCGAGCACCCAGGTTCAAATCCCAGCTCTGCCACTTGTCAGCTGTGTATGATAAGACAGGTCACTTCACTTCTCTGTGCCTCAGGGACATTTATCTGGAACAGTTCTACCTCCTAGGACTGCTGGAAGCATGTTATGAGCTGATTCTATAAAGCTCTTGGAGTGGTGCCTGGCACATGGCAGGTCCACCCTAAGTGTTGACCATCACTGCCATCAGTCCATGAGGAGAGCAGGCAGCCACTGGGGTTCCCATTTACAAGGGGAAACCATGAGGCTTGGAGAAAGAGCTTGACCTGGTCCAGTTCCCAGGATTTCAGCCCTGCCCTCCTGCCTCTAACCTCCAGCTGGTTCCTTAGAGTCACAGTTCTAGAAGAACGGCTGGGGAAGTTGATAAAACACAGATTGAACCAGCCTAGCCTGGGACCTGGGATTGCAGTTTTTAGTAAAGAACCAGATGGTTCTGAGGCAGGGGCTTCAGAACCTAGAGGAGAAATTCTACCTCAGGATCTTTGCATTTAGGTCCTCCAGCCTCGAATCCACACTGGCCTGCCTTCCCTCGCTGGCCTGTTCAGACCCACTCTCCCAGCCCAGGAAGGAGGACACTGAGAACAGAAGAACTAGACAAAAAGCTTGCCAGGAAGCTGGATTTTCTACCTTAGGGCCTAGAAACCAGAAGGAGGGTGGAGGATCTGAGGGAAGCAGGACCAAAGGCCCAGACTTGCAAATCCAAGAAACCCTAAATATTAGAATTACAGAATCTGAGTCATGGAATCCAAGAACATTGGAGCAGAAAGAGTCTTTAGGGGCATAGGCAGACCCCTATCTGTTCTTACCCAGGGCATGGACCAGTCTTGGGGTTCTGGAGACTGAAGAGTGGGACCCCAGGGACAAGGACCTCTGAGGAAGGACAGTGTCCTCAGTTGTCAGATGTAGGTTTGCATGGAAGGCCACCTGCAGAGAGATGCTCCTAGCAGCAACAGCCAGCTTCCAGGGCCCCTGGAGATAGCAAACCCCACTTGCAGAGGCTGATAGCTGAGGACAGACAGGGAGGAATCCCCTGAGGTAGCACAGCACGCCCCGCTGTGCCAATGCCCAATCCAGCTGTCTTCACTTCAGCCTGGCTTCCTGGCCAAGGCTGGGGGTGTCACAGGAGGAAACAGCAGCAGGTAAACACCAGGTGGGCCACAGCTGAGCCAGGCCCTGCATGTGCTGCTCCCGGAGATCACATAGCCTTGCAGAACTCCCATTTGGAGCCTCAGAGACCAGTCTCAGCTTAAACAGTAGAACTGAGATTTGAGGCCAGGTGTGGTAACTGACGCCTGTAACCCAGCACTTTGGGATCACCTGAGATCGGGAGTTTGAGGCCAGCCTGACCAACATGGAGAAACCCCCGTGTTTACTAAAAACAAAAAATTAGCCAGTCATGGTGGCACATGCCTGTAATCCCAGCTACTCGGGAGGCTGAGGCAGGAGAATCACTTGAACCCAGGAGGCAGAGGTTGCAGTGAGTGGAGATCGTGTCATCACACTCTGGCCTGGGTGACAAGAGTGAAACTCCATCTCAAATTTGAAAAAAAGAAAAGAACTGGGATTTGAACCAGGACCATCCAGTGTTAGAGTCCATTGCGCTTTTCTTGCTTGGGTTCCAGGCCCTGCAGTTAACGCTGGGGACGACTCAGGCCGGTCCTGCCCTTTCAGGAGCCTCCCTGGCCCACTTGAGTCAGGCAGCCTGGAATTTTCCACATGAATCTAAACTAACCCTGGAGACACTGGCCATCCACACGGCCCCCAGGGGCAGGGGGACAGAGGTCAGGCTTCTCACCTCCTCCACTCACCTCCCCCACTCTCTCTAGGTCTCTGCTGTTCCTGGGGTTCCTCTCCGGGCTCGGGACCTGCTTTGGGGGCTACAACATGGCCATGGCGGTGATGAGCCCCTGCCCGCTCCTGCAGGGCCACTGGGGTGGGGAAGTCCTCATTGTGAGTATCCAGCTTAGGGCGAGGGGGGCTGCTCCCGATCCATGCCCCCACCTCCTAGCCAAGGCCTGGTAGAGCCTGGGCGCAGCGCTTTCCAGCGAGCAGAGTCTGTGGGGCTCTCCAGGGAAACCCCAGGTGGGAGGGGTGCCCCTTCCACATGTGGAAGTGGAGGCTTGGGGAATCCAGGTGGCTGGCAGGCCGCCTCCCACCATGGGAAGCAGTGGCCTTCTCTCAAGTGCCCTTGACTTGATCATGGACACATGAAGCCAGAAGACCACTGGGCTCTCCTTTGCCCCTGGGCGGTCAACTCATGGGACCTGTCAGCCCCGCAGGATCACTCCCAGAAGGCTCTCCTTGCACCTAGGGAGTATCCCATGGGTTTCCCTGAGCCCCGTGAATTCTCCGTCCTGGCGCTCGCCCTGCAAACCCCGTCACTCTGCATCTCTTACCGCCCGTCCCTGCAGGTGGCCTCGTGGGTGCTGTTCAGCGGCTGCCTCAGCTACGTCAAGGTGATGCTGGGCGTGATCCTGCGTGACCGCAGCCGCAGCGCCCTCTTGTGGTGCGGGGCGGCGGTGCAGCTGGGCTCGCTGCTCGGAGCCCTGTTCATGTTTCCGCTGGTAAACGTGCTGCGGCTCTTCTCGTCCGCAGACTTCTGCAGCCTGCACTGCCCGGCCTAGGCAGGCCACCAACCCCGCCCCCATCGCTAACAGCCGGGAACTGGGGTCCAGAGAGGCCAGGCCACAGAGCAAGTGGCAGAGTCTGACTACTTGAACCATGAACGCAAGTGCCCACTAGGGACTGTGGGGAAGGTCAGAGGCCACCCATGGGACCTGGAAATGCAAGGCACAGACAGCTCTACTCCCAACTCTGTGTCACAGTCCCTGTGACTGCCAGTTCAGATCGCCTTTGCTTTGACTCTCAAGAGCGGACCGATTTGCAGCGTGTAGCCGGAGGCAGGCCCAAGGGTGTTAGAAGGGACAGCTGGGAGGGTGAGCTGTCCCTTCAGGCTGTGTGCCTTGGAGAAATCACTTGGTTTCTCTGTGCCTGTTTCCTCATCCATGCAATGGGGATTACCATCTACCTCACAGGCGTGGCACAAAGACAAAAAGAAGCAGCAGCCGGCATGAAGCAAGCCCTCCTGAGCCATCTGCTGATGTGACAGTCCATGGTGGTGACAAGAGTGACAGTCAACACAACCTAGAAATGGCCAGAAGAGTTGAGAAAGGCCCCTGCCCACTCTCCTTTGCCCCGAAGTCTCACAGAGCGGCTTCTACAAGACAGGTGGCTGACTGTCGAATCTTGAACATCCGGGCTCTCGGATTCCCAGCATGGAGGATGTGGTACCCCCCACACCCCTTCCTGTCATCCTTCCTGGCCCATGAAGCCCTACTTGTTGGAGAGTAAGTGCCCTCCTGGAGGCAGGGGGAGATGATTTGCTGGTGGGGCTAGGGAAGGCCCACCCATGAGCCTCTGAAAGCACACTCCCCCACCAGGCTGGGGACCAGACATGCAGAACTCCTAGACGTATTCTCTCAAACGGAGGGGGCAGGGTGATATTTTGTTTTACTTTCTGTTTTTCATTTTTTTAAATAAAGACATTCTCTGCTTTTACACTCATATCAGCCTTGAAAGGAGAAGTACAGGCATGGTACAGTGGCTCACACCTGTAATCCCAACACTTTGGGAGGCCAAGGCAGGCAGATCACTTGAGGCCAGGAGTTCTAGATCAGCCTGGCCAACATGGCAAAAACCCATGACTCAAAAATAATAATTTTAAAAAGAAGAAATTTAATGTGAACCCCCAACATGTGCAATTAGTTTTCAGTTGGTTCTAAGCTCAAGGCTGAGCTCAGGAATGAACAGAATCAAGTGCGTAGAGAATGTCTGGGTCTGGGGCTTTTTTTTTTTTGAAGCAGAGTTCTGCTCTGTCTCCCAGGCTGGAGTGCGGTGGTGCAACCCTGGCTCACTGCAACCTCCACCTCCCAGGTTCAAGTGATTCTCCTGTCTCAGTCTCCTGCACACTACAGGAGACCCGGCTTATTTTTTGTAGTTTTAGTAGAGACGGGATCTCACCATGTTGCCCAGGCTGGTCTCAAACTCCTGAGCTCAGGTAATCTGCCCACCTTGGCTTCCCAAAGTGCTAAGATTGTAAGAGTGAGCCACCACCCCCAGTCCCTGGGACTTCTTTTTAGAGGTTTTGTTTGCTTGCCACTACATTCCCCTTCCCTTTTAATTTATTTTGAATAGATAATACAGTCAAAAAATCACAAAATGTAAGGTGTACAGAGAAAAGTTTTCATCCTTTTCCTTTCCTTCATCTGCCCAGTTTCTCTTCACATGCACACACATGCATGTGCGCGCATGCGCACGCGCACACACACACACACACACACACACACACAGGCACCTTTATTAGTCCCTGTTTACCCTTTCAGAGATCATACAAATGTAAGCAAATCCAGAATCTTCAGACCTCTTTTTTTTACAGAAAAAGTGGTAAATTGTTGTGCTCCTTGCATTTTTTATTCAACAATGAAAACAGGTTCCTTGTTCTTTGTCATGGCAGTGTAGTATTCTGTGGTGTGGAGGTGCCAAGTTTATTTAACCAGGCCTCTGTAGAAAGACATCTGAAGGTGTTAGAGATAAAATTAAAAATAAGATCTAATCCAGAAAACCTTTCCACAAAAGTAGAAGAGAAAACAGTTTTATTCTTAAATAAGCATTTAACCAGACTGCAGTGATCATCACAGGCAATCCACAAAAGAGATTACAAAGAGAAATAAACTTCACTCTTTTATATAGCCAAGCAGGTATAACCTGTTGCATATATGTCCTTAAATAGTAACTCAGGCCAGACATGGTGGCTCATGCCTATAATCCTAACACTTTGAGAGACCAAGGCGGGCAGATCACTTGAGGTCAGAAGTTCAAGATCAGCTTGGGCCAACATGATGAAACCCCATCTTTACTAAAAATACAAAAGTTAGCCGGGTGTGGTGGTGCACACCTATAGTCCCAGCTCAGGAGGCTGAGGTGGGAGGATTTCTTGAACCCGGGAAGCAGAGGTTGCAGTGAGCTGAGATCTCACCACTGTACTCCAGCCTGGGCAACAGAGCAAGACTCCATTTCAAAAAAAAGTCCTCAAGTCAGATGACCACTCAGCACCATCTGCAGCATGTTTTACCCTGAATTCACCTGGTAATTGGAGTGGCCATCTGTGTTAGCTAGTTGTCTTTATCCAGAGGAAATAGAAACTCATATCTTTATGATGGATGATGGATTATTTTGCAACTTGGAACCAGGTACTGAAGTCAGGCTCCTAGCCTCCCAGGAGACTGGGTGATAAAGGTGCTATCTCGATGTTTACCTTCCAAACAGATGCCTCCTAGGCCCCTGGGAAAACATTCCTGGCTTGTAAAACTGGCAGGAGGCTCATTTGACTTTTAAAAAGACTCACATCTTAAAGGAACAGAGAAATAATCAAGTTTTCCAAAGTCTTTTTTAAGAACAGGATGTCTCTTTCCTTTTCTGCACCAGGGAGAATTATTTTATTTTATTTTTTGTATTTGCCCTTACAAAAGCATTTGGGTTTCCAGTCAGTCCCTCCCAGGAAGGATGCTGGAGTGGATAATGATCAAGGAGTTTCTCTGTACTGATGTGGGAGGTTGTCGCAGAGTTAATTATATGTGCACACACACACAAAGTAGATGCAGAAGAGGAGGTGGAGTGTGGCGCTATCCGTGCTAATGCGGCCTGAAAAGGACCAGGCGGAGGGCGCGTGGACATTTGGAAAAGGCTCCTCTCTGGTTTTGCTTTCCTGCACCATCCTTGGAAGACGTTTATTCTTTTAAAGATGGAGCCTCACTCTGTTGCCAGGCTGGAGTACAGTGGTGCGATCTTGACTCTCTGCTACCTCCACATCCTGGGTTCAAGAGATTCTTCTGCCTCAGCCTCCCAAGTAGCTGACACTACAGGAGCGTGACACTAATTTTTGTATTTTTAGTAGAGACAGGGTTTCACCATGTTGGCCAGGATCTCTTGACCTCATGATCCACCCGCCTCGGCCTCCCAAAGTACTGGGATTACAGGCATGAGCCATGGTGCCTAGCCCATCCTTGGAAGTCTTTAGCCCTTAAGGTACTGTGCAAGATCCAGCTCTTAGCCTTCTCAGCACATGAGGATGAGAAAAACATCTCCCCCTAGGACTGATGTGAGGATGCACTGAGCTACCATGTGCAAAGTGCTTGGCACCACACTGGGAAACAGTAAGTGCTCAATAAATACCATCGAAAAGCTGTCTCACTTTACGAGGATATCCACCATGGACCCTTGATGTCCCCAAACTACACTCTGCCTGCCCTGGCTCTGCTCCCAGCTGAAATGCAATTTTGAGGCAGGCCTGAAACACGTGATGTTCCTACAGACACCAAGTGACCAGCTAGGTAAATTCTCTGAAGAATGAGATCAGGGCTGGATGTGGTGATTTATATCTATAATCCCAGCACTCTGGGAGGTTGAGGCAGGAGGATTGCTTGAGCCCAGGAGTTTCAAACCAACCTGGGCAACATGTCTCTACAAAAAATACAGCAATTAGCCAGGCATAGTGGCACATGCCTGTGGTCCCAGCTACTCACAAGGCTGAGGTGGGAGAATTGCTGGAGCCCAGGAGGTCAAGGCTGCAGTGAGCCATGATGGTACCATTGCACTCCAGCCTGGGCAACAGAGCGAGACGCCATCTCAAAAACAAAAGAGAAAGAGAGAGAGAGATCAGAGCTCCAGACTCAGTCACTCAGTCCAAGGGGTGGGCTTTCCCAAGGATGCCCCTGCAAGCTGGTATCTCAAGGCAAGCATGAGAGAAGGATGTGAGGTAAGCAGAAGGTGCCTTGCAGGAGGAAACTGCAATTTGAAGGCCAAGTGGTAGAGCCAGCAGGATGCATTCAAGTGCCTGAAAGGAAGCCATGGTGGAGATCCAGAAAGAGACACAGAATACCTGGAAAGCCAAGGTCATGGAGAGACGGAGGGCTGCTTTGGCCTGCATGACATTGACAGGGACCACACCAGATGCAAGCAGTCTCAGAAGCCACTGCAGCCATCCTGGAGAGAAATAATGTCATCCTGGGTAACCGCCCAAGGGGTTCACTTTACCTGCTCCCTAGACAAAGCTGGTTCATCAAGACAGGGGAATTGCAATAGAGAAAGAGTAATTCACGCAGAACCAGTTGTACGGGAGACTGCAGTTTTATTCCTCAAATCAGTTTCTCCAAGCGTTCAGGGAGCAGAATTTTTAAGGGTAACTTGGATGGGAAGAAGCCAGTGAGACAGGAGAGCTGATTGGTCAGAGATGAAATCACAGGGGGTGGAAGCTGTCTTCCTGTGCTGAGTCAGTTCCCGGGTGGGGGCCACAAGAACAGATGAGACAGATTATTGATCTGGGTGGTGCCAGCTGATACATCAGTGCAGGGTCTGAAAAATATCTCAAGCACTGATGGTAGGAGCATTTTAGGGAGGGTCGGAATCTTGTAGCTTCCAGCTGCATGACTCCTAAACAGAAATTTCTAATCTTGTAGCTAATGTTAGTCCTACAGAGGCAACTTAGTCCCCAAGCAAGAAGGAGGTCTGCTTTGGGAAAGGGCTGTTACCTTCTGTTTAAAGTATAAATTAAGCCCAGGAAGTGGCTCACACCTGTAATCCCAGCACTTTGGGAGGCTGAGGCAGGCGGCTCACAAGGTCAGGAGTTCGAGACCAGCCTGGCCAACACGGTGAAACCCCACCTCTACTAAAAATCAAATTAGCTGGATATGGTGGTGCCTACCTGTAATCCCAGCTACTAAGGAGGCTGAGGCAGGAGAATCGCTTGAACCCAGGAGGCAGAGGTTGGAGTGAGCTGAGATGGTGCCACAGCACTGCAGCCTGGGTGACAGAGCGAGACTCCGTCTCAAAAAAAATAAAATAAAAATAAAGTATAAACTAAGTTTCTCCCAAAGTTAGTTCAGCCTCCGCCCAGGAATGAACAAGGACAGCTTGGAGGTTAGAAACAAGATGGAGTCAGTTAAGTTAGTGCTCTCACTGTCTCAGTCATAATTTTGCAAAGGTGGTTTCAAGAGGACCCTGCACTGGGTGAGTGGCGCACTGGGTCAACCTATCGCATCGACCAAAATGTTCTTCCTTTTGATCTCCTGAGAATGTTTTTCAGGATGTTGGTGACCAACTGAGCAAAGGGACACTGCGGGAAAAGGACAGAATGGCTCTCCCTCCCTGCCAGGCCGGCAGGTGGGAGCTGAGAGGACATGCGTGTGGTGAGGTGGGGTGAGGGCTCAATCTCTGCCCTGGGAACCCACAGCAAGAGTGACTATTCTGGTTTAAAGCTACCCACTCAAACCCCCAAAGTGGAGGTCTCAGGGACATTCCCTCCTGCCATTTTGCTGGGATGGTATACTCTGGGAGACTTTTATTTTATTTGAGATGGAGTCTCACTCTATCACCCAGGCTGGAGTGCACTGGCACCATCTCAGCTCACTGCAACCTCCACCTCCCGGGTTCTCCTGCCTCATCCTCCCAAGTAGCTGGGATTATAGGCACCACCACCATGCTTGGCTAATTTTTATGTTTTTAGTAGAGACAGGGTTTGGCCATGTTGGTCATGCTGGTCTCAAACTCCTGACTGACCTCAAGTGATCTGCTCGCTTAAGGCCTACCAAAATGTGATTACAAGTATTAGTCACCATGTTGCGACACTGGGAGGCTTTTAGAACTGCCTGGAAACCAGAGCCAGAAAAGCAAAGCCTAGGGAACCCACCCACAGGGAGCCCACCCATCCTGGCTCCCTGCGGTGCTTGACCCGGTCAGCCCTGCCCTAGGTTTGGGCAAATCTACCCACAGCTCAGGAATCCTGGCCCCAGGCCCAGTTTCTTCCCTGCCCTGCCCTGTCCTTCCCTGGGTTAGGGAGAACCCTCTGCCTACCGGCACACTGCTTCCAGTGGCCGTGACTTGACTTATACCTTTTAACACTTTCTTTACAATGGCCTGTGGGTCTGCAAGTGTGTCCCAGACCCTCCAATTGGGGTCATGTACTGACAGTGGTCCTTGCTCTTCAAGTCTTTGAGCTCCAAAAGGGAGAACCTGAGTTTGAATGGTTCACTGTGAACAACCCGCCCCCACCCCAAGCCCCCCGTGACCCCCAAGGTTCAGCCTCAGATAGGAGTTAGGCAGGACTGGTTTTACAAGGTACAGGTCACAAAGACCTTGCTGATAAAAGAAGCTGGTCAGATCCTGCCAAAACCAAGATAGAGATGAAAGCAACCTCTGGTCGTCCTCACTGTTCATTATAATTATAATATATGCTCATCGTAATATATTAGCATGCTAAGAGACACTCCCACCAGCGCCATGACAGTTTCCAAATGCCATGGCAACAGCCAGGAGCTACCCTACATGGTCTAAAAGAGAGGAGGAACCCTGAGTTCCAGGAATTCACCACCCCTTTCCTTGAAAACTCATGAATAATCCACACTCTGTTTAGCATATGATCAAGAAATAGCCATAAAAATAGCCAGCAGACCTCAGGACTACTATATGGAGTAGCCATCCTTTTATTCCTTTAATTTTTTTTTTCTTTTTAGAGACACGTTCTGGCCCTGTCACCCAGACTGGAGTGTAGTGGCACAATCTTGGCTCACTGCAGCCTCCACCTCCCAGGCAGTCCTCCTGCCTCAGCCTCCTAAGTAGCTGGGACCACAGGTGCACCCCACTGCACCCAGCTAATTTTTGTGTTTCTTGTAGAGATGGGGTTTTGCCACATTGGCCAGGCTGGCCTCGATCTCCTGACCTCAAGTGATCCTCCCACCTCGGTCCCAAAGTCCCAAAGAGGGACTGTCTTAAACTTGCTTTCGCTTTGTTGACTTACTCTTGAATTCTTTCCTGTAGGAAGCTAAGAACCCCTGTGGCCTTCCCAGTTGAATTCTAATTTTGGGGTTCACCCTGTGACAAGCCCAGTGCCCTGCCCTGAGAAAGGCTCAACAAATAATCGTGGTAAAGCCAGGTGAGGTGGCTCATGCCTATAATCCCAGCATTTTGGGAGGCCAAAGGGGGTGGATTGCTTGAGCCCAGGGGTTCGAGACCAGCCTTGGGAAATGTGGTGAGAACCTGTCTCTACTAAAAGTACAAAATTTGGCGGGGCATGGTGGTGTGTGCCTGTAGTCCCAGCTACTCAGGAAGCTGAGTAGGAGGCTTGCTTGAGCCCAAGAGGCCCAGGCTGCAGTGGGTCCTGATTGTGCCACTGCACTCCAGCCTTGGTGATAGAGCTAGACCCTGTCTCAAAAAAAAAAAAAAAAAATAGTGGTAGGCAGAATGGCTCCCTAAGATATAGACACTCTAAGTTTTGGAATCTGTGATTGTTACATTGAATAGCAAAAAGGACTTTGCAGATAGAATGAAGATTACAGACTTTAAAATAGGGAGATTATTTTGGATTATCTGAGTGGGCCCAATCTAATCACATGAGCCCTTAAAAGTAGAGAGTCGCAAGAGATTCAGCGAAGGAGGTGAGAAGACAGAAGCTGCAGGAGGAACCATCCGGGAGATTCCAAGGGTGAGAAGGATTTGAAACGCCTGGTGTTGCTAGCTCTGGATATAAGAGGAGCCCCTGCACAGGGACCTAGAGAATCAGGAGCCCCGGGAGCTAAGGGCGGCCCCAGCTGACGGCCAGTGAGGAAGTAGGAAACTCGTCTGAAACCACGTGGAACTGGACTCTGCCAGCAACCTGCAGGAGCTTGGCAGCAGATTCTTCCCCGGAGCCTCCAGCAAGGCACACCGCCCTGCTGACACCCCGGTTTTAGCCCTGAGAGACCTGGATCTGACGTCTAACCAACAGAACTGCCAAATAATAAATTTGCATTGTTTTAAAAGTTGCTGTTTACTGGCCACGTGTGGCAGCAGCAGTAGAAAACTGACACAATGGTGTGCCCTCCTCAGTTCTCCCAGCCCCTGGAGCTTGTGAAATGTGCTCAATTCTCATCATGACAACCCCACATCACATTGCAGTGGTAGAGACAGAGTTGGGGAATGATGGAGCCAGGATCCCGCAGAAAACGGGTGTTGAAATCTGTACACAAAGCCCACTTTAGTTGTCTCTGGAGCCAGGATTCTTTCTGATGAGCTGTTGGCATAAACACTGAGTACCACATTTCAGATGCGTCCTGGAGAAAGGGGGTTCAGAAACACCAAATCAGGCCAGCTCCACACTGAAGACAGAAGGAGACATGCCATCTGAAGGAGACTGAATGGCTCTTATGCTTCCTCGGGGTTGGTCAGCACCAGAATAACCAAGCATCTACCCTGTCCATCCACACTGAGAGCCACCATGAACTGCATGGCTTGACAGAGGCTTCCCACTGCTTCTTTTCCTGGTATGTCATAGGCAAGGGTACGAGGCCATTCCTGCTGTCCTCTGCTGAAGGCCAACCCCATCCCATGCCCTGGGCTCTTTCTGAGGCTGTATTTATTTAATTCTTGCAGAAACTCTATGAAATTCCTCCTATTGTTATCAGTCCTATTTTGCAAATAAAGAAACTGAGGCACAAAGAGGGCCAGTATCTTGGTAGGTCACAGCCAGTGAATGGCAGAACCAAGACTCAGACCCAGGCTGCCTAGGTTCTGCATCCCATGGTCTTTCTGTGCCAGAGACATGAGCCTCAGCATGTGAGTTGGTGGAAAAACCTTGATCGAAGGCAAGCACTGGCTTCAGATGGGGAAACCAAGTCACAGAGCAATTAAAGCTCCTCCCTGGTCCATCATCTTCTGGCTTGTCCTTGAAAAGTTGAAATCCACTTCCATGGCATCTCCAACACACTACCCCTTCCCCAGCAACACACATACAAACTCCTTCAGAAGGGAAGAGAAGTTAAGGGCTCTTCTATGGGCTGGGCGCGGCAGCACACACCTGTAATCCCAGCCCTAGGAGTCCAAGGTGGGCTGAACACTTGAGGCCAGAAGTTTGAGATCAGCCTGGGCAACATGGTGAAACTCTGTCTCCACTAAAAATACAAAATAAAGTCGAGCGTAGTGGTGGGCACCTGTAATCCCAGCTATTTGGAGGTTGAGGCATGAGAATTGCTTGAACCAGGGAAATGGAGTTTGCAGTGAGTCAAGATCGTGCCACTGCACTCCAGCCTGGACAACAGAGCAAGACTCTGTCTCAAAAAAAAAAGAAAAGAAAGAAAGAAATTAAATGTTCTTCTAGAGCTCTTCTAGACAGGATGCAATTTACACACAGAGAGACTAATGGCATCACTTTAAGAATGACCAGCAAAGGATCTGAAAATTGCTGGAGAAGTTGCATCATGCCCCTTGTCTTGCAGTTCTGTTTTTGTAATGGGATAGCCTTTCCTGATTCTCTTCGTGATGCTTTCAGGAAGCAAATTCGGGGAAGTGCTGTGATTGGCAAATATTGGATGTGTTGCCGGAACTCTGACTTTCATTTGGAAACTGCGGTTGAGCCCCTGGCTACGAGGCATGCCTTAAGAAAGAAGGGCTGCCCTTGGCTGGGCATGGTGGCTCACACCTGTAATCCCAGTACTTTGGGAGGCCAAGGCAGGCAGATCACTTGAGGTCAGGAGTTTGAGACCAGACTGGTCAGCATGGTGAAACCCCACATCTGATAAAAATACAACAAATTAGCTGGGCATGGTGGCGTGTGCCTGGAATCTCAGCTACTCAGGAGGCCGAGGCAGGAGAATTGCTTGAACCCAGGAGATGGCGGTTGCAGTGAGCCAAGATCACACCACTGCACTCCAGCCTGGGCGAGAGAGGGAGACTCCATCTCAAAAGAATGACACAGGCCAGTGTCCTCTCCCAGAGTTCAATGGTTAGAATGTAAGACACAAATTTTTCCCGCTTGTTGGGGAAAGATATTACCACTGAGAGAATAAAGGTGAATAGCACTGCTAGTTGCCACGATATCCATTCTCCTGTTCCTTTCATAGTCATAGAGCCCCTGACTTTTCACTGGGCATGAGGCAGCCCAGAGGAAAGACTACATTTCCCAGGCTTCCTTCTGCCCAGCACAGCCATGTGACTGCATTTAGACAAATGAGATGTGATAAAGAATAATGTGTGGAAGTTCTAGGTTGTATACTTAGAAGGCCCTCTACTCCCCGTTTTCCCCTTCTTGCTGGCAGGAAACAGATGTCATGGCTAAATCTGGAGCAGTTGTCTTGGACCACGAGGAGGAAGCCAACAGTTGAAAATAATACATATGCGTATATACACTCAGTCACACGGGATACAGACTGGAAAGATATATACCAAAATGTTAGCCTAGTTAGCTCTAGGAGAGGAGAGGAATCTCAGGTGATTTCCTTTTTCTTCTTGGTACTTTATTTAGTTATTTATTTTTGAGACCCGGTTTCATCTTGTCACCTAGGCTGGAGTGCAGTGGCACAAGCTCAGCTCACTGCAACCTCCACCTCCTGGGCTCAAGCAATTCACATGCCTCAGCCTCCCGAGTAGCTGGGATTACAAGAACCTGCCACCACACCCCGTTAATTTTTGTGTCTTTATTTTTATTTTTATTTATTTATTTATTAATTTTGAGACAGAGTTTCACTCTTGTTGCCCAGGCTGGAGCGTAATGGCACGATCTTGGCTCACCACAACTTCACCTACCGGGTTCAAGCAATTCTCCTGCCTAGCCCCCCAAGTAGCTGGGATTACAGGCTTGCGCCACCACACCCAGCTAATTTTGTATTTTTATCAGAGACAGGGTTTCACCATGTTGGCCAGGCTGGTCTCGAACTTCTGACCTCAGGTAATCCACCCACCTCAGCCTCTCAAAGTGCTGGGATTACAGGCATAAGCCACGGCACCCGACCAGTACTTTATTGTATTCTGACTTTTTCTTTGAACATGTTTCAAAATCCAACAAAAATAAAGAAAAGTAAGAAAGGAAGACTCCTATAAATAGATCCTATTGTTTAATTCACCTAGATTTGCTTCAGATCAGCCTCCAGAGGTCACAAACACGCACGCCTGGACTTAGATTTTTTGGAATATTTGGCAGGATTTTGTGTGGGTTATGGAACCTTTTTTTCAGATGTTCTTTTTACTGAACAGAATGTCTTGGAGATGGTCCCACATCCTATGTATAGCGTGACCTCATTTCTTGTAACCAGCACAAAGCACTCCCTGGCTGGGCATGCTGGGGTTTACTGGGTGGCCCCTGTTGGTGGACATCTGCACTGTTTCTGATTTTAAGCTACTGAAAGCAATGCAGCGATGAACATCCTCATACCCGCCCCTCTGCACCTGAGTGAGGCTTTGGAGTCTTACACATGGGTGACCCTCTCATGTGGGTTCTAACCTGGCTTCCCTGCTTATTTGTTACATAACCCTCAGGCAACTTACTGTGCATCTCTGAGTCTCTAAAACAGGGAAAATAACAAGCCTGACCCATAGAATTATTGTGAAGATAATAACAACTGAAACTGATCACGTGTTTACTGCATGCCAGGCCTGAATTAACTGATTTAATCCTCACAACAGGATGACATGAGGTCATGCTTAGACAGTTGTCCTGAAAGGTTTTTTTAAAAGCTTCTGGCTTTCGGCCGGGCGCGGTGGCTCACGCCTGTAATCCCAGCACTTTGGGAGGCCGAGGCGGGTGGATCACGAGGTCAAGAGATCGAGACCATCCTGGTCAACATGGTGAAACCCCGTCTCTACTAAAAATACAAAAAATTAGCTGGGCATGGTGGCGCATGCATGTAATCCCAGCTACTCGGGAGGCTGAGGCAGGAGAATTGCTTGAACCCAGGAGGCGGAGGTTGTGGTGAGCCGAGATCGTGCCATTGCCCTCCAGCCTGGGTAACAAGAGTGAAACTCTGCCTCAAAAAAAAAAAAAGCTTCTGGCTTTCAGACAACCAGCATGAAATCCTCTGGCTAAATTTTCATATGGAATCCTTCCACTGACTTTTTAGGGTTGGTGGATGTATTAGTCTACTCTCATACTGCTAATAAAGACATACCCAAGACTGGGTAATTTATAAAAGAAAGAGGTTTAGTGGACTCACAGTTCCACATGGCTGGGACGGCCACACAGTCATGGCAGAAGATGAAGGAAGAGCAAAGAGTCATCTTCCATGGTGACAGGCAAGGGAGCTTGCCTTGATAAAATCATCAGATCTCTTAAGACTTATTCACTATCATGAGAACGGCACAAAAAAAACCCACCCCCATAATTCAGTTACCTCCAATGGGGTCCCTCCCATGACACGTGGGTATTATTACAATTCGAGGTGAGATTTGGGTAAGGACACAGAGCCAAACCATGTCAGTTGGACTTGTAGACCTTATCTACATTCTCTGGAGTAAATTTTTTTTTTTTTTTTTTTGATAGAGTCTCCCTCTGTCACCCAGGCTGGAGAGCAGTGGATCTCAGCTCACTGCAACCTCCACCTTCCAGGTTCAATCGATTCCCCCACCTCATCCTCCCAAGTAGCAAGGATTATAGGTACACACCACCATGCCCAGCTAGTTTTTGTATTTTTTAGTAGAAATGGGGTTTCACCTTGTTGACCAGGCTGGTCTCGAACTCCTGACCTCATGTGATCCACCCACTTCGGCCTCCCAAAGTGCTGGGATTACAGACGTAAGCCACCTCACCTCGCCTAAATTTTTTTCTTTTTTGAGACCAACTGGACTGCAGTGATGGAATCTTGGCTCACCGTAACCTCCGCCTTCCGGGTTCAAGCAATTCTCCTGCCTCAGCCTCCCAAGTTGCTGGGATTTATAGGCGCCTGCCATCACGCCTGGCTACTTTGTGTATTATTTTTCTTTTCTTTTCTTTTTTTTTTTTTTGAGACAGAGTTTTACTCTTGGTGTCCAGGCCAGAGTGCAGTGGCGTGATCCTGGCTCACCACAACCTCCACCTTCCAGGTTCAAGTGACTCTCCTGCCTCAGATTCCTGAGTAGCTGGTACAGGCATGCACCACCACGCCTGGCTAATTTTGTATTTTTTAGTAAAGAAGTTGGTTAGGCTGGTCTCAAACTCCTGACCCAAGGTGATCTGCCCGCCTCAACCTCCAAAAGTGCTGGGATTATAGGTGTCAGCCACCGTGCTCAGCCACCTTTTGTGTTTTTAGTAGAGATGAGGATTCACCATCTCAGCCAGGCTGGTCTTGAACTTCTGACCTAGTGATCCACCTCCCTTGGCCCCCCAAAGTGCTGGGATTACAGGCGTGAGCCACCACGCCCAGTCTCTTTGGGGTAAATTAATGGCCACACATTCCTCCTAACCCCTATCCATGCCCCTTTGCAATGTGACTCTGCTATTCCTTCCATCCAAGGTGGAGTCTGTTTCTCCACTGTCTTGAGTCTGAGTGAGCCACGTGACTTGTTTTGACCAATAGCATGTGAAAGAAGTGATGTCATGTGATTTTTAGAGCCTATGCCTCAAGAGACCTTGCAGTTCCAGTCTTGGGCTTGGACCCTTGACCCTTGACCCTTACATAAGGGATGTAAGGGATGATGTCTGACCTAACAGAGCAAGAGTGGCCACAAGGAGGAGAACACAGACACTCCTGCTTACAATCAGCACCAATTGCCAGTCATGTGGATGAGGTCATGTTGGACCTCCCAGTCCCCCAACCCTTCTCTTAAATTTTTGGAAGAGTTTGAGAAAGATTGATCATAGTTCTTTAAATGTGTGGTAGAATTCACCAGGGACTTGTTGAGGGTTTTTCTTTTTTGGATGACTTTTTTTTTTTTTTTTTTTGAGATGGAGTCTCACTGTTTTGCCCAGGCTGGGGTGCAGTGGTGCAATCTTGGATCACTGCAACGTCTGCCTCCTGGGTTCAAGCAATTCTCCTGCGTCACTCTCCCAAGTAGCTGGGATTACAGGCATGTGCCACCATGCCCAGTTAATTTTTATATTTTAGTAGAGAGGGGGTTTCACCATGTTAGCCAGGCTGGTCTCAGACTCCTGACCTTAAGTGATCTGCCTGCCTCAGCCTCCCAAAGTGCTGGGATTACAGGAGTGAGCCACTATGTCTGGCCTCTTTCTCCCTTTTTAATGCAGGTCTTTACAGCTATAAATGTTTCTGCTTTCACTGAAACATGTAAGTTTTGGTATGTTGTGTTTTTATTCTCATTCTCTCATGGTGTTTTCTAATTTCCCTTGTGATTTCTTGACTCACATATTTGTGAATTTTCACAAATATTTTTAAATTTTCACATATTTGTGAGTTGTCTTTGTTTTCTTCTATTGATTTCTAGCTTCATTCCACTGTAGTCAGAGAAGGTACTTTGTATGATTTCAATCTTTAAAAATTTATTGCCCGAGTATGGTGGCTCACACTTGTAATCCCAACACTTTGGGAGGCTGACTCGGTCAGATCACTTGAAGTCAGGAGTTCAAGACCAGCCTAGCCAACATGGTAAAACCCCATCTCCATAAAAACACAAAAATTATCTGGGTAGGGTGGTGGGTGCCTGTAATCCCAACTACTCTGGAGGCTGAGGCATGAGAATTGCTTGAACCCAGGAGGCAAAGGTTGCAGTGAGCTGAGATTGTGCCACTGTACTTCAGCCTGGGCAACAGAGCAAGACTCTGTGTCAAAAAAAAATCATTAATGTTTGTTTTGTGGTCTAACATAATCTGTCCTAAATAATTTTCATGTACTCTGAGAAGAATATGTATTATCTTTTTATTGGGTGAAATGTTCTATAGATGTCTTTTGGGTCTTGTTGGTTTAATGTTCAAGTCTGCTGTTGCATTCTTTAGTCCTCTGCTTAGTTGTTCCATTCATTACTAAAAGTGAGATATTGAAGTCTCCAACTATTATTTTTGAATTGTCTATTTGCCCCTTCAGTTCTGTTTTTGCTTTATACATGTTGGGGCTTTGTTGTTAGGGGCATATCTGTGTATAATTTTTATGTCTTCCCAATGGATTGATTGATCCTTTTACCATTATAAAATGTCCCTCTTTATCTCTTGTAACGTATTTCACTTTAAAATAGATGTACAATACATCTATTTTTCTTGATGCTAATGTAGCCAACCAAGTTTTCTTATGGTTGCTGTTTGCATGTTATATTTTTTCCATCTGTTAACTCACAACCTACTTTTAACCTTTGAATCTTGAGTGTATCTTCTGCGCACAGTATATAGTTGAGCTTGGATTTTTATTTAGTCAGGAAATCTCAACCTTTTGACTGGATCCATTCACATTTAATGCTATTATTGATAGAGTTGGATGTATGTCTGCCATTTCACTTTTTAATTTCTATATGTCTCAGGTCTTTTCTGTCGCCCTGTGCTTCCTTGACATCTTTTACACTAAATGAATATTTTCTAGTGTAATATTTAAATTCCTGTTTTTTGCATTTTTTGTTTGTTTTGGTGTTTTTGTTTTGTTTTGTTGTTTTTTGTTTTTTTCTTTGAGATAGTCTCACTCTGTCACCCAGCCTGGAGTGCAGTGGCATGATCTCAGCTCACTGCAACCTCTGCCTCCCAGGTTCAAGCAATTCACCTGCCTCAGCCTCTCAAGTAGCTGGGATTACAGGCACCCATCACCACACCTGGCTAATTTTTTGTATTTTTAGTAGAGACGAGATTTTGCCATGTTGGCCAGACTAGTCTGGAATCCTGACTTCAGGTGATCCATATGCCTCAGCATCCCAAAGTATTGGGATTACAGGCATAAGCCACTGCACCTGGCCTTAAATTTCTTTAATATCCTTTTCACTGTTCTGTTTGTTTGTCTTAATGACTGCTTTAGACTTACTATATATACCTTAACTTATCAGAATCGACTTTAGATTTACACTCTTAGTTCCAGTGGTATACAGAAACATTACTCCTATATAGTTCTCTCTCTTTTTTTTTTTTCTTTTGAGACAGTCTTGCTCTGTTGCCAAGGCTGGAGTGTGGTGGCATGATCCTGGCTCACTGCAACCTTCATCTCCTGGGTTCAAGCGATTCTCATGCCTCAGCCTCCCCAGTAGCTAGGATTACAGGAGCATGCCACCATGCCCAGCTAATATTTGTATTTTTAGTAGAGATGGGGTTTCACCATGTTGGCCAGCCTGGTCTTGAACTCCTAACCTCAAGAGATAGGACTGCCTTGGCCTCCCAAAGTGCTGGGATTACAGGCGTGAGCCACCGTGCCCAGTGACTCCTATATAGCTCTATTTCTCTTATTCCTCTTTGCACTATTCTTTTTATATATATTACATCTACATGTGTTACAAAACCAACAGTACTTTCTTGTAATTATTACTTTATATAGTTTTATGTCTTTTAAAGAAGCTGAGAGAAGAAAGGAGAGCAAGTATATATTAAAAGACTTTGTTTTATTAACTTTCTTACTTATAATTTCTGGTTCTCTTAATTTGTTGCTGTGGATTCCAGTTCCCATCTGGTCTCACTTGCTTAATCCAATACCGCTCTGCTCCCACTCACCTCCTGTGTGCTATTATTATCAAAATATATTACATTTCTATATGTCTTGGCCCCACAATACAATTATATACAAATTATTTTTAAAAATGTTAGGAGAAGGTGAATAAATATGCATTCCTACTGCCTTTCATAATGATCTAATTGCCTTTCCCAGAACACTTTGGCTTCTGTGTGTATGGATTCAAATTATGGTCTGAAGAACTTCCTTTAGTATTTCTTGTAAGGTAAGTTTCCTGGCAACAAATTCTCCGTTTTTGTTTATCTGGGACTATCTCTTTCATTGTTACTTTTGAAAGATTATTTTGCTGGGTGTAAGATTCTTGCTTGGTAGTTTTTGTTTATGCACTTTGAATATGTTGTCCCACTGCCTTAGGGCCTCCATCGTTTCAAATGAGAAATCTGCTGTCAATCTTATTGGTGTTCCCTTATATGTGATGAGCTGTGTCTCTCTTGCTGCTTTCAAGATTTCCTTTTTGTCTTTGGGTTTCAACATCTTTCTTTTATGTATCTAGTTGTTGACCACTTTGTATTTATTCTACTTGGAGTTCATTAAGCTTCTTGAATGCATAATTCATGTTTCTCATCAAATTTGCAAAGCCTTCAGTGATTATTTTCGCACATGTTTTTCCGTTCCTTTCTCTCTTTCCTCTCCTTCTGTTACATACGTTATTGTGCATATGTTGGTGCACCTCGCTGTGTCCCACATTTCTCCAAGGACTTGTTCACTTTTATTCATATTTTTCTCTCTGTTCTTCAGACTGCAAAATCTCGATCTGTCTTCAAATTCACTGAATCTTCCTTTGGTTGGCTCAAATCTACTGTTGAGCCCCTCTAGTAAATTTTTCACTTGCACTTTTCAACTCCAAAATTTCCATTAATTTTTTAAAATAATATCTTCTTGTATATTCTCTGGTCATGAGACATAGTCATCATAGTTTCCCTTATTCTTGCTTTTTGTTTTTGTTTTTCTTTTTTGAGATGTAATCTCACTCTGTCACCCAGGCTGGAGGGCAGTAGCACAATCTCAGCTCACTGCAACCTCCATCTCCTGGGTTCAAGTGATTCTTGTGCCTCAGCCTTCTGAGTAGCTGGGACTACAATCACCTACCACCACGCCTGGCTAATTTTTGTATTTTTAGTAGAAGTTGGGTTTCACCACGTTGGCCAGGCTGGTCTCAAACTCCTGACCTCAGGTAATATCTGTTGACTGCTCTTTCCCTGTGTATGGGTCACATGTGTCTATTTCTTTGCAGGTCTTGAAATTCTTTGCTGGAAAAAATGAACATTTAAGCTGATATACTGTAGCAACTTTGGGTCCTGATCACTACCAAAATCTCCGCTGCTTCTGAGAGCACTCTTAGGCTTAAATTTCCACACACTCTGTTCTAAAGGATCCGTTCCTTTACAGACTTTAAAGATCTGTGTTTTTATGACCTGTCTCTCCCTTGGACAAAGCATCTGTGACACTGCTTTGGAGCTGGGGGGTGGGGACAATGACCCACTTCTCTCAGAGTAACCTTCTTGCTTTATGAGCATGGCTGAGTTGGAGCAGTAGATGAAGGCCACACAGTTAAAGGTGACAGAACTGAAATACAAACTCCAGTAGTGTGGCCTCTCTACACTAGCAACCATGAGTCTGTCTGCCTCTCAGCTTCATGTGGGCAGAAAGGGCAGGGAAGAGTGTTCCAGGCCAAGGGGGCAGCAGTAGCAAAATCCCAGGGCAGGAGTGAGCTTCGCACCTCCAGTGTCTGCAGGAGGCCTGAGTATATGGATCCCAGAGGGAGAGACAAGGGGAGGAGACAGGGATGGAAGCAGGGTTAGATCCTGTAGGGAGAGGGTGGACTTGGAAAGGATTTAGGTCTTGATCAAAAGTGGTGAGACCCATTGGAGGGTTTAGGCAAATTGGGAGTGACATGCTCTGATTCCTGTACTGAAAAGATCCTTCATTGGGATCCAGTGGGAGGGGCAGGAGGACACATGGGGCAACCCTTCACACAGTCTTGTGGGCATCATGGTCAGTTGTGTGCACCTCCCAGGTGTGGACCACCTGAAGCACCTGAATCTGAGGAGTAAGGACCCTCCAGGAACTTCCTGGCACACAGAAGTGTGTGTGTGTGTGTGTGTGTGTGTGTGTGTGTGTGGTGTGTGTGTTAAAGAGAGAGAGAGAGATTGTAATCTTGGCAGCCAAAAATCAATGCCTATTAGGGTGTGTTGGGGTGAAGAGCAGGATTTTCCCCTTGAAGTTTCTGGATCACCTCTTGTGCACATGGGCAGGAAGTTCTCCGGGTTCTCTCCTGCTTCTTTAGCGATTCCAAGGGAAACCTGCGGCTTCAGGCAGGATGCCAGATAGGGCATTGCTGGAGAAGATGGGAAGATTCCCTGGAGGGTATCTTAGGATGGTCTTACACGCACCTGCCCCAACACACACCTCCTCCAACACACACCTCCTCTACAGAGGGAAGAAGGAGGTGGAATAGGAAACTCTCTACCTCAAACTAGGTGTGTTCACCAGCAAGAAGATTGGCAAGCTGAGGGCAGAGGGAAAGTTTGGTTAGATCACCTCTGCCCCCAAATCTGTTCTAGGCTTCAGAGCTAACAGCTGCCTTTCCTGGAAAGAAATGGGAAGGCCTCTCATCCAGCCAGGCGCGGTGGCTCAAGCCTGCAATCCCCGCACTTTGGGAGGCCAAGGCAGGTGGATCACGAGGTCAAGAGATCGAGACCATCCTGGTCAACATGGTGAAACCCCGTCTCTACTAAAAATACAAAAAATTAGCTGGGCACGGTGATGCGTGCCTGTAATCCCAGCTACTCGGGAGGCTGAGGCAGGAGAATTGCCTGAACCCAGGAGGCGGAGGTTGCGGTGAACCGAGATCGTGCCATTGCACCCCAGCCTGGGTAACAGCAGCGAAACTCCATCTCAAAAAAAAAAAAAAGAAAAGAAATGGGAAGGCCTCTCATCCTGCAACCGCCCCCCCACCACATACAACCTGTATTGGCTCATAAAGATCTGGCCTTCCAGTGCTCAGGACACCCTCAAAAATGGCCCAGACCTGGCATTGCCATTTTTAAGGTTCCATTTTGACACTGCAAGTCCTGTCCTTAGCAACCCCTTTCCTAGGATGGAAAACAAGAAAGTTTATCCGCCTCCTAAGCTGACTGATAATATTAATATGTAACATTAATTGAGAGAGCACTTATATGGAAGATGGCATTGAGTCCCTCATGAAATAGGGAATCATCTTATGAATGAGACTAATGAGGCTCAGAGAGGTTAAGTAACTGAATAACATCACACAACTGGTAAATGATAGAGCTAGACTTTGAACCTAGGTGGTCTGGCTCCAGAGCCAATAGGCATGATCACTCCACTGTGCTACATCCTTGAAGGTGGCCATTAGAGGACTCATTTCCTCCTGGCAGTGGCAAACATTTAACATCTCTAGAGGGGAAAACCCCTGTTTGAAGCATTTGCGAACTGCCATAGTGTAAATACTCACCATTGCTGATTTCAAGCTACAGACATGATGTTACAGAATGTAGAGTGGGATACAGATACACACAATTAGCTCTTCCTAGCTGGTACAGGCCACTAAGTTGAATAGATTGAAAATCCAAGGGGGAACCAAGGTGGAGGTAGACAAGGGAGAATTTAGCATCTGGATTCCTTGTTCTTACATTGCTACAAAGAACTGTCTGAGACTGGGTGATTCATTTTAAAAAGAGAAAAAAAAAGAAGTTGAACTGGCTCACAGTTCTGCAGGCTGTACAGAAAGCATGGCTGGGAGGCCTCAGGAAACTTACAATCATGGCAGAAGGCAAAGGGGAAGCAGGCATGTCCTACATGGCTGGAGCGGGGTGGGGGAAGGTGCCACATCCTTTTAAACAAGCAGATCTCATGAGAACTCATTCACTAAAAGAAAAGCAAGGGAGAAGTTTGCCCCCAACATCAAATTACCTCCCACCAGGCTCCTTTCCAACACTGAGGATTGTAACCCCTCCCGAGATTCAGGACAGAAAACAAATCCAAATTATATCAGTGTTTTTGTTTTTGTTTTTTAGATGGAGTCTTGCTCTGTCGCCCCGGTTGGAGTGCAGTCATGCAATCTTGGCTCACTGCAGCCTCCACCTCCCAGGTTCAAGTGATTCTCCCACCTCAGCCTCTAGAGTAGCTGGGATTACAGGTGCGTGCCACCACACCTGGCTAATATTTTGTATTTTTAGTAGAGATGAGGTTGCACCATGTAGGCTAGGCTGGTCTCAAACTCCTGACTTCCAGTGATCCCCCCACCTCAGCCTCCCAAAGTGCTGTGATTATAGGTGTGAGCCACTGTGCCCAGCCCATATCAATATCTTTTTTAAAAATATTTTTAATTTAATTTTTTTTAGAGACAAGGTTTCTCCAAGTTGGTCAGGCTAGTTTCCAACTCCCAACCTCAAGTGATCCACCAGCCTTGGTCTCCCAAAGTGCTGAGATTACCGGTGTAAGCCACCACGCCTGGCCTCATATCAATGTCTCAAAAGAGAATTCACCCACCAATGGGCTTGTCAGAGCCTCCAGCAATCTGAAGAGCTGATTCTGATTCTTGTCTTACAGATACAGAAGCTGAAATGAGCTTTATGCAAGGTGAGCTTTATGCATTTGTGCAACAGTCACTGAGCATATACCCTGAGTGGGGCCCCGGATGGAATAGACCAGCACTGAGGATGCAGAGCTGACCTGGATAGTTCTAGCCTGCCTAACGGAGCTTGTGGGCTGAGAACAGGCACACAGGCACGCACACATGGCTCCACGGAGCCTCCATTCAGGTGGCAAACATGCCAGTCACGAGTGTGGGTTGCAGCCCCGGACTTCCTGGCTTCAAGTCCAGGCTGTACCACTCGCTGGCTGTTGAAGCCACCTTTGCAAAAATTGTAACTAAGGAAATTATGACAGTGAAAGAGATCAGACCTAACTGACTCCATCTTGCTTTTAACCTTTAAGCTGTCCTTGTGCATTCCTGGGCATAGGCTGAACTAACCTTGGAAGGAATTTAGTTTATAGTTTGACTCTGAAACAAGCTGATATCCCTTTCCTGAAAAGACCTGCTTCTTGCCTGGGGACCAGCATGCCTTTGTAGGATGAACAAATTGGCTACAAAATTAGAAATTAAGGTTAAGGGGCCATGCAGCCTCCAGCTGCAAGGGCCCGAACCTCCCCAAGTTGTTTCTGGGGACAGTATCACTATTGCAAAACCTACGGTCATTGCTTGAGATATTTTGCAGACCCCGCACTACAGCGGTTTCTGGATCAGCTGACAGCACCCAGATTGGTAATCTAGCTTAACCAGTACTGCGATCCCACCCAGGAACAAGGCGAACCCTTGGGCTGGGTTTGACCTTGGACGAGTTACTTAACCTTTCAGTGCCTCAGTTTCCACATCTGTAAAGAGAAGAGATAATAATACTACCTACCTCATAACACTATTAGGAGGATCATATGAATTAATGAATTAATGCATTAGTAAAGGGCTCTGAGCAGTGCCTAATACATAATAAAAGCTCAATAAATGTTAGCTGTTTTTATTATGTAGCTTCAGAAATGCAACTGCGTGTTGCTCAGAAAGAGAGAAGGGAGAAAGATGTATACAATGTGGGCGATTCTGCCTGGACATGATCCCAGCTGTGAGCAAGGTGTGGGGGTGTGGATCCAATGTTCAGAATCCCACACACCCCGAGAGAGAACAGAACCTAAAATTACAGTCTGCAAATGCATGCAATCACCACCATATACTGCTGTTCTTTCTGATCAGTGCATTTAGTGCTGCAAAAGGCTATATTTAGAAAACTGTCCATATTTTTCTCTATGGAAAGTACGCAGGGTATGAGCATATATCCTGGGTGGGGCCGTGGATGGAAAGGACCATACCCACTCAGGATATATTCTTTCCAAAGGCTGTTCTGCTGGCAGTTGGGGTGGGGAAGGGAAAGCTAGACTCCCCAGCCTCTGGACTCTGAATCCAGTGTTCTTTCTTCTGCAATCAGGACCCTGGGTGGGGGAACAACCCTGACATTCTCCCAAGGACCCTGGACTTCAGCTCCTGGCTCCCTACGCAGAAGGGAGGGGAGGATCCTCTAGGACAGCAGAACCTGAACTGATTCTCATTCTAAGAGGGTGTTTGGAGTAGGGGTGAAAGGGAGACAGAGACTCTAACCCCAGCATCACAGCTGGCTCTCTCTGTGTGACCTCCAAGCCTCAATCTCAGTCTATATAAAATAGAGGTAATGACACCTAACTTGGTGTGTACATAGGTAAATATTCTGCGCACAGCAGCCGCCCCAGTGCGTATTCCCTTCCCTCCGCCCTCCTATGCAGATTGGCTGCAATGTAGCTCTGGGCCAGTAGGTGGTGGTGCTGCCCAAGAAGCAGGAAGCAAGCAGGGACAGAAAGGAATGCTTGGATGGTGGATGGACTGAGGTCCTGCTGATCCCAGGCCAGGAAGCGGGGCATTCAGAGCCAAGATAGGAGTCCAGGCCACTTGAGTGCTTGCCCATGCCCCACACATGCAGGCACATGAAGAGGCTCACATCCGTGCATCACCAAGGACCAACCTTGCACCTGAAGGAGACTTTCATATACGAGCTCCTCAAATTTGCACACTTGCCCTATGGATACTGCCAGTATGGTCCCATTTTACAGGTGAGAAAACTGGGCCTAGAGAGGCAAAGTGACCTGCGCTAGGTCACCCAGCAAGCCCATGGCAGAAATAGATTTGATCCACTCCTGTAATGATATTAAAGGCCATCCCCCATGTAACTCCTGCATGTGCTGATACTGTCCTAAGCTTTTTTTTTTTTTTTTTTTTGAGATGGAGTCTCTCTCTGTCGCCCGGGCTGGAGTGCAGTGGAGCAATCTCAGCTCACTGCAACCTCTGCCTTCTGGTTTCAAGTGATTCTCTTGCCTCAGCCTCCTGAGTAGCCGGCACTACAGGCGCATGCCACCGTGCCTGGCTAATTTTTATATTTTTAGCAGAGACATGGTTACATCATATTGGCCACACTGGTCTCAAACTCCTGACCTTGTGATCCACTCCCGAAGTGCCAGGATTACAAGAGTAAACCACCATGCCTGGCCTGTCCTAAGCATTTCTGCACCTATGAACTTATTTAATCCTCATGACAGCCCTGTGAGGTAGGCATGAGTAGTATTATAGTCTCACGTTACAGAGGAGGAAATGGAGGCACTGAGAGGTTAAGCAACTTGCCCAAGGTCACACAGCCAGTGTCTGTGCACTGAACCAGCCTGCTCCCCTGGCCACCAGGAACAGGCATAAGGCACACACACCCCTTTCATACTCACTCACTCAGGATTGGCATCCAAACTGTGGAGAATAATGGAACAGGGCCACGGGCACACTCCTCACCTGGCCCTGACCGTCTTCACCACTGACCACCTCAGGAGTCACTCCTCTAATAAAGACTTTCCCTCAGAAGGACGCTGTTAATCCTGTTTTCCAAGGACAGTCTCCTGCAGCCTCCCAGAAGCCATGGGGTCACCTCTGCCATCACAGCTCCACCTGTTCAGTGAGGGGCAGGACAGCTGCTGGAGCAGGGAGGCTGCTTGGGCAGAACAGGCTGGAGAAGGGCAGGAGTGAAACAGTGAGATCATAGAGGAGGCTGTGGCAGTGGTCAGGGAGAGCAAAGACGGGGTGGCTGTGGACCCAGGTGGTGGCTTTGGAGGTGGGAGGATGTTCAGATTCTGGATTTAAAGAAGGAATAAACAGGATTTGATCACTTTGATAGGTGTGATGAGATAAATTGTTATCATATGTAATAAAATACAGTAACTATCAGCCGGGTGTGGTGTCTCATGCCTGTAATCCCAGCACTTTGGGAGGCCAAAGCAGGTGGATCATGTGGTCAGGAGCCCGAGACCAGCCTGGCCAACATGGTAACCCCATGTCTACTAAAAGTACAAAAATTAGCCAGGTCTGGTGACAGGCGCCTGTAATCCCAGCTACTCAAGAGGCTGAGGCAGGAGAATCACTTGAACCCGGGAGGCAGAGGTTGCAGTGAGCCGAGATCCCACCACTGCACTCCAGCCTAGGTGACAGAGCAAGACTCTGTCTAAAAAAAAAAATAGTATCTATCATTCTGTGTTAAGGAATCATTATCAAATTTTGTATAACTAATAATGAAAAACTTACTGGTTTAAGACAACAGTAAGCATTTACCTCGCAAACCATTGTGTGGATCAGGAATTCAGGATTGGCTTAGGAGGGTGGTTCTGGCTCCAAATTTTTCACGAGGCTGTGGTCATCTGAAGGCTTGAAGGGGCTGGCAAATGGACTGGTTGTTTCCCAGGACCTTCAGTTCCTGTCCACGGGCTGCTTAAATGTCCTCATGACATGGTGGCTGCCTTTCCCCAGGGACAGCAACCAAGAGAGTGGAAAAAATGAAAACAGTAGTGCTTTTTTTTTTTTTTTTTTTTGAGATGGAGTCTCACTATGTCACCCAGGCTAGTGTGCAATGGCACAATCTCTGCTCACTGCAACCTCTGCCTCCCGGGTTCAAGCATTTCTCCCACCTCAGCCTCCCTAGTAGCTGGGATTACAGGTGCCCGCCACCACATCCGGCTAATTTTTGTATTTTTAGTAGAGACAGGGTTTCACCATGTTGGCCAGGCTGGTCTCGAACTCCTGACCTCAGGTGATCCACCCACCGCGGCTTCCCAGAGTCCTGGGATGACAGGTGTAAGTCAACACACCCGGCCCAGATCTTTTTCATCTTGCACAACTGCAACTCTGTATCCATTAAACACGAACTCCCCATTCCTCCCTCCCCATAGCCCCCAGAACCACCATTCTACTTTCTGTCTCTATGGATCTGACTGCTGTAGGTACCTCAGATGAGTGGAATCAGACAACATTTGCTCTTTTGTGACTGGTTTATTTCACGTAGCATAATGTCCTCAGGAGTCTTCCATGTTGAATCATGTGTGAACATGTCCTTCCCCTTTAAGGCTGAATACTATTCCGCTGTGTATATGTGCTACATTTCGTCTATTCATTCAGCTGGACACTTGAGTTACTTCTATTTTGGGACTATCATAAGTAATGTTACTATAAATGTGAAAGTAAAAATATTCATTAAAGTCTGCTTTCGATTCTTTTGGGTAGAGTTGCTGGATCGTATGATAATTCTGGGTTGAATTTTTGGAGGAACCACCATACTGTTTTCTGCAGCAGATGCACCATTTTACATTCTGCTTGGGATGCACAGGGTTCCAGTTTCTCCACATCCTCATCAATACTTGCTATACTGTTTTTTGTTTGTTTGTTTTCTGTTTTTTGAGATAGACTCTCGCTCTGTCACCCAGGCTGGCGTTCAATGGTGCAATCTTGGCTCACTGCAACCTCCAACTCCAGGATTCAAGCCATTCTCCTGCCTCAGCCTCCTGAGGAGCTGGGATTACAGGTATGTGTTACCACACCCAGCTAATGTTTGTATTTTTAGTAGAGACTGGGTTTCACCATGTTGGCCAAGCTGGTCTTGAACTCCTGACGTCAGGTAATCCACCTGCCTCATCTTCCCAAAGTGCTGGAATAACAGGCATGAGCCACCATGCCCAACCTGTTTTTTTTGTTTGTTTTTTAATTATAGTCACCCTAATCAGTGTGAAGCGGTATCTCAGGTTTGCAATTTTGACTTGCATTTCCCTAAGGATTCGTGATGCTGAGTATCTTTCCCTGTTTATTGGCCACTTGTACATCTTTGGAGAAATGTCTCTTCAAGTCCTTTGCTCATTTCATTGGGTTGTTTTCTGTCACTGTTGCTTTTCCTTTCTTTGCAATTAAGTAACTTGCACACTGAGGCAAACTACTCATTTGGGCCTCGGGTTCCTTCCCTCATCCTGTATCCAGGCCTGGCCCTGCCCTAGATGCCAGAGATATGGTGGGGATCAAAACCCAAAGATTCCTGCCCCATGGGGCTTCCTCTCCAGTGGGGCAACCAGACACTAGTGTGAGGTCAAATGACACAGTAGGTTTGGTTTTTTTCTTTTTTCTTTTTTTTCCCCCCCAAAGTTTTTTGCTCTTGTTCCCCAGGCTGGAGTGCAGTGGTACAATCCCGGCTCACTGCAACCTCCAACCCTCGGGTTCAAGTGACTCTCCTGCTTCAGCCTCCTGAGGAGCTGGGATTACAGGGTGAGCCGCCACTACCAGCTACTTTTTTTTTTTTTTTTGTATTTTTAATAGAGATGGGGTTTTACCATGTTGGCCGTGCTGGTCTCAAACTCCTGATCCACTGACCTTGGACTCCCAAAGTGCTGGGATTACAGGCATAAGCTACTGTGCACAGCCTGGTTTTACATCACGGGGCATCGGCAGGCAGCCTCAGGCCCCCTCCAGCCCTTGTGCCTAGCATGTGAGCCCCTCACAGCAGGTTTGAAAAGTCTAGAGTTTCCAGCATTTAAAAAAAAAAATCGGTGTTAACATCAAAATCTAGATTTATAGCTTCTTTTGAAAAGCTGAAAGCTGAGACCACTCATGCTTGCTTCTCCACCTCGAAGCAGCTTGAAGGGGCTGCTTTACCCAAGATATTAATAACATCTCTCCTGTAGGCAGCCATCCAAAGTCTGATCACTGCAGGGTACAGAGGTGTGACCTCCCTATCTCAGGCTGTGACATGTCCTAAGGGCTAGCCCAGCTCCTGATGGGACTGGCCGAGGCCTCTATTGCAACTGCCTAAGCCTGCTTCCCTGGCTCCTCCAAGATCCTAAGAGCACTCCCTGGAAAACCACCCCCATTAAGATTTCCATCTCAGGGGCTGCTTCCCAGGACCTTGACTTTCAAGATGGGTCATGAGCTCACTGGCTCCCCACAGCCTCCTACTGACCCATTTGAGTTTTTTTGTGTTTTCACCTCTGGTTTTGTCCTGGGCAGGACCTAATCTGATAGTGATGGCAATAGAAGGAGCTTATTCTTCCAAGGCAGGAGCCATGTGCTAGACAGTATTCTCAGATATATTCATTTCATCCTCACAATAGCTCTATGATTGTTACATACTTATTATTATTACTATTATTATTATTTAGACGGAGTCTCACTCTGCTGCCCAGGCTGGAATGCAGTGGTATGATCTCGGCTCACTGCAACCTCCTCCTCCTGGGTTCAAGCGATTCTCCTGCCTCAGCCTCCTGAGTAGCTGGGATTACAGGCAGGAGCCACCATGCCCGGCTAATTTTTGTATTTTTAGTAGAGATGGGTTTCGCTATGTTGGTCAGGCTCATCTCATGATCCTCCCACCTCAGCCTCTCAAAGTGCTGGGATTACAGGCATGAGACACTGCGCCCAGCCTACATACTTATTAAAATATCTAAATTTTTTTTTTCTTTTGAAGATGGAGTTTCACTCTTGTTGCCCTGGCCGGAGTGCAATGGTGCAATCTCGGCTCACCACAATCTCCGCCTCCCGGGTTCAAGCAATTCTCCTGCCTCAACCTCCCGTGTAGCTGGTTACAGGCATGCGCCACCACACCTGGCTAATTTTGTATTTTTAGTAGAGACGAAGTTTCTCCATGTTGGTCAGGTTGGTCTCGATCTCCTGACCTCAGGTGATCCACCAGACTCTGCCTCCCAAAGTGATGGGATTACAGGCGTGAGCCACTGTGCTGGCCTAAAATATCTAAATGTTTTTTAAAAACTGACAATACTAAGTGTTGAAGAGAATGCAAAATGGCATAGCTACATTGGAAAACAGTTGTCAGTTTCTTTTCTCTTTTTTTTAGGCAGGGTCTCACTCTCTCACCCAGGCTGGAGTGCAGTGGCACAATCTCGGCTCACTGCAACCTCTGCCTCCCACCCTCAAGTGATTCTCTTACCCGCAGTGGTGACGTGTCATGATTCTGCGGTTCTTTGGCTTTTAGAATTTCTGCTTCAGAATTCCGGAGGGCTGATGAGGCTGCACTCTTTGGAGCTGAAAGGGCAGTTGTCTGGGATGCTCTGGCTGGGTGGAGGAGAGGAGAGGATGATGAAGGTGGATGAAAATCATGGGAGAAGGGCCTGACCCCTCTCCCCACAGAGCACTCACGCGCTGTCCCCAGGGACAAGGCCTCTGTCCCCTCCATTCACTCACCCCAGCTGATGCCACTCACCCCCACCAAAGGCCTCCCCACCTCCCCTTATTGTCTGAAGGGCTCAGATGGAGGGGCCGCCCATTAACCCCTTCCTGGCCTCATTGCTTCACTCTGCAGCTGTCACACCACCGGCCAAGGCTGGAGCAGGAGAGGACTTGGTAGTTAATCACAATTAGAGAGCAGCATGTCAGCTGCGAGGCTGGCCTCCGTCATTGGCTACCAGCCGGCCTAGGCCAAGGGACAGCCTGCAGCAGCCACACAGCAGATTCTGAGACCTGCAGAGGCAAAGAGAGGACAGTCCCTTCCTGGTTCACTCCTGGAGACTTCCCCCAAAATCCCAGCCAAGTATCTTCCATTGTCACAGCTGCATCCTGTAGCTTTCAATCCCACCAAGTGCCCCCTCACCAGCACTTGTGCCTGATCCTCACATGCTGGGCTTTTCCTCTCTACCGAAACGCCTCCTCCTCCAAGAGGCCTTCCCTGACCACCGTGGCTAGTGTGGCATGGTTCCCCATCACTCTCTATCCCATGCCCTGCTCACCTGTTTTGTTTTGTTTTTCCAAAGCACTTGCCATTAGCTGGAATTGTTTTAGATATTAACTGGTTTTTTGTGTATTCATTTCCTGGGACTATAGTAGCAACCATAGGCCAGTCGTGGTGGCTCACGCCTGTCATCCCAGCTCTTTGGGAGGCCAAGGCAGGCAGGTCATTTGAGGCCAGGAGTTCAAGACCAGCCTGGCCAACATGGTGAAATCCCGCCTCTACTAAAAATACAAAAATTAGCCCGATGTGGTGGCAGGTGCCTGTAACCCCAGCTACTCTGGAGGCTGAGGCAGGAGAATCGCTTGAACCTGGGAGGTGGAGGTTGCAGTGAGCCAAGATCCCACCACTGCACTCCAGCCTGGGCAACAGAGTGAGACTCTGTCTCAAAAAAAAAAAAGAACAAATAACCACAAACTGGGTGGGTTAAGACAACAGAAATTTATTCTCACAGTGAAGGAGGCTGAAAGTCTGAAATCAAGGTGCCCGCAAGGCCATGCTCATTCCGAAGGCCCTAGGGGAGGACACTTCCTCGGTCTCCCCAGCTTTGATGGCTGCAAACCTCCTTGGCCTCCTTTGCCCTGTGGATGCATCACTCCCGTCTGGGCCTCTGTGGTCACATGGTGTTCTCCTGTGTCTGTTTCCCTCTTATAAGGACACCAGTCATTGGAGTAGCCCATCCTAATCCAGTATTACCTCATCCTGACCTGACTACATTTGCCTAAACCCTGTTTCCGAATAAGGTCATACTCACAGGTCCCAGGGTTGGAGCTGGGATGTATCTTTTTGGCAGACACAGTTCTCCCACAGCAGCAGGTTTTCTCTATATTTTCTTTCTTTCCCTTCCTTCCTTCTCTTTCTTTCTCCCCCCTCCCTTCGTTCTTTCCTTCCTTCCTTTCTTTCCTTCCTTCTTCTTTCTTTCTTTCAAGACAAAGTTTCGTGCTTTTTGCCCAGACTGGAGTGCAATAGCACAATCTCAGCTCCCACAACCTCTGCCTTCAGGTTCAAGCAATTCTCCTGCCTCAGCCTCCCAAGTAGCTGGTATTACAGGCATGCACCACCACGCCCAGCTAACTTTGAATTTTTAAGTGGAGACAGGGTTTCTCCATGTTGGTCAGGCTGGTCTTGAACTCCTGACCTCAGGTGATCCGCCTGCCTCTGCTTCCCAAAGTGCTGGGATTACAGGTGTGAGTCACTGTGCCCAGCCTTCTCTATATTTTCTAAGAAAGCAGGGCTCTGTTGGTTCTTGCCATGGAATGTATTCTTTATGCAACCATCATTTAAGTTAAACTACCGTTTAACATCTTATCAAAGTTTCTATCCCAGGCCAGTTCTGGACCTGGGAAGAGAGGACTCTGCTGGGAGTCTTAGGGCAGGAGAAACCTGCTGTCTGAAGGGGAAACATGGAAGCAGGTTCCCCCACAAAGATAGCTCCCATGCATCTCCAGGACTCTAGGGTCCAGCTCACAGAGAGCTCTGGGAAACATGTATTGATCTGACAGATCAGGAAGAGGGGAAGGCAAAGTGCGGCAGGTCCAGTGAGACCCAAGGGACCAAGTCAGGCAAGGGACTAGGGAGAATCCACCAAGGAGCTGAGCACTCAGGGAATGGCACGAATGCACTTAGGCAAACCAGAGGGAGCCAGGCACTGAGCTGTCCCTGCAGGGAACAGGAAAGTGGCTGGAGAGGATGCTGCCTGGGCAGGGCCACGTAAGGCCAGGACAGCTCACAGTCTGAACTTTGTCCAGATTGCCGGGAAGAGCCATTAAGAGATTTAAAACTTGGAAGTGGTGATGTCAAGTACGCATCTAACTGATCTTTTCAGTTTTTGTTTTTAATTCCATAGTACATTCAATTGGTTTAAGATTCAACAGGTATAAGAGGATATGGCCCAAAGTGTCCCTTTTCCCCAACCCCTAGCCACCCAGTTCCCCTCCCACAGACGGTCACTATTACAAGTCTCATATAGACAGTCAATGCAGATACAAGCAAATTTCCTTGCTTGTTAAACATACCAGATTCCATAATTTACACACTGTTCTGCACCCCGCTTTTTAAAAATATCAAGGTGTAATTTACACACAGTGAAATGCACCTGTGTAATCAACACCCCAATCATGATACAGAACATTGCCAGCATCCCAAGAAATTCTTTTATGTTCCTTCCCAGTCCATCCCTCCACCCCAGAGGCAGCCACTGCTTTGCTTTCTGTCATCACAGATTGGTTCGTTTTGCCTGTTCTAGAATTTCATATAAATGGCATCATTACAGCATGCTATTATTTGTACCCGCTTGTTTTCATTCAGCATGTTTTGAGATTCATCCATGTGGTTGCATTCATTGGATCGCTCATTTATACAGCAGTGTAATATTTAACTATATAGCTCACCAGTTTATCCATTCACTGGCTGATGGATCTTGGGCCACTTCCAGTTGTCATCTATTACACGTTAAACTCTGTCTTTCTGGAGCTATATACACGTCTATAGTTTTATTTTGAGCAAAAACCTAGGGGTGAACTTGCTGGGTCATAAGAAGGGTGTATGTTTAACTCTTTTTTTTGGGGGGGGGACAAGTCTGGCTCTGTTGCCCAGGCTGGAGTGCAGTGGTGCAATCTTGGCTCATTGCAACCTCCTCCTCTCCGGTTCAAGCGATTCTCCTGCCTCAGCCTGGAGAATCGTGGGATTACAGGCGCATACCACCAAGCCTGGCTAATTTTTATATTTTAAGTAGAGATGGGGTTTCACCAATGTTGGTCAGGCTGGTCTCGAACTCTTGACCTCATGATCCACCTGCCTCAGCCTCCCAAAGTGCTGGGATTATAGCCATGAGCTACTGTACCCTGCCAAGAGTTGTATTAACTCTACAAGAAACTCCCAAACTGTTTTCCAAAGTGAAACACCTTAAATACCATTTCATATTAGTGCATTGAGAGTTTCCTCATGTGTGTTTGTGGCTTTGCTGTGCTCCATTGTATGGATGTCCCACAATTTTTTGCTGTCACAAGCAACGCTGCAGTGAAACCTTGTAAATGTCTGTGTCAAATGTCACATGGGTTAAGCATACCTGTAGGACACACTCCTAGACTTGGAACTCCTGAGTGTGACATAGCCTGATGGCTATTTCCCAATATCCAGACTATGCACTTTTTCTTGAGACAGAGTCCCACTCTGTTGCCTAGACTGGAGTGAGTACAGTGGTGTGATCTCGGCTCACTGCAACCCCTGCCTCCCAGATTCAAGCAATCTCCTGCCTTAGCCTCCTAAGTGGCTGGGACTACCGGCACAGGCCACCACGCCCAGCTAGTTTTTGTATTTTTAGTAGAGATGGGGTTTCTCCCTCTTGGCCAGAATGGTCTCAAACTCCAGGCCTCAGGTGATCCACCAGCCTTGGCCTCCCAAAGTGCTGAGATTACAGGTGTGAGCCACCACAGCTGATCATGGGCTGACTTTTTTCCTATGAAATAAGAGCCTCGATTTTCATCTGGACACATGGTGCCTGGGACAGAGATCATATTTCTCAGCCTCCCTTGTAGCTTAGTATAGCAATGTGATCAAGTTTAGCCAATGAAACATCAGTAAGATAACTTCCAAAAGAGTCTTTAAGGGAATCTTCCTCCCTCCTTGGCTCCTTTCTCCTTTCTAATGACTAAAAGTCTTTCCCTCTGGGGGTGCAGATATGAGGGCTGCTGTTTGAGCAGTGATGCTGGGCCACAAAGTGGCAACCGTGTACTGAGGAGGTAATGTAATTAGACAAAAGGAGTTTAGGTTCCTGAACTGTGGAGCACCATGCCGGCTTTAGACTGCCTGCCTGCCTCTGGACTGTATTTACATGACAGAAAAAATGCCTCTCTTGGCCAGTACGGTGGCTCATGCCTGTAATCCTAGCACTTTGGGAGGCAGAGGTGGGCAAATCACCTGAGGTCAGGAGTTCCAGACCAGCCTGGCCAACATGGTGAAATCCTGTCTCTACTAAAAATACAAAAATTAGCTGGGCATGGTGGTGGGCTTCTGTAATCCCAGCTACTCAGGAGGCTGAGGCAGGAGAATCACTTGACCCCAAGAGGCGGTTAGCTGAGATTGCAGTGAGCTGAGATTGCACCATTGCACTCCAGCCTGGGTGACAGAGGGAGTCTCCATCTCAGAAGAAAAAAGAAAGAAAAAGAAAAATACCTCTACCTTGTTTAAACTGACTTTTTTTTTTTTTAAGACAGAATCTTGCTCTGTCACCTAGGCTGGAGTGTAATGGCATGATCTCAGTAGCTCACTGTAATCTCCACCTTTTGGGTTCAAGAGATTCCCCTCCTGCTTCAGCCTCCCAAGTAGCTGG